CAGTACTAGACAATATACTCGTACATTGCAATTTACGATTAATTGACAGCACTCAACAAGTTTATGATCTTTTACCATGACATGTTTGAGTAAATATTTTAAAGAATATCGAAAATTGAAAATTTAGTGAGTACCATTATTTAGTATATGTATTTTGGGGCGAAAGCGACCCTGGTTAAAGCATTTGTTAACTATTAAGAGAAAACAAAACTTGTATGCTAATTATAGAAATAATGTTAAAAAGAATTTTAAATAATAAAAATATTGAAGTGATCAGCTGAAACCCAAAATATGGGTTCGATTTTGGAACATACTTTCAAAAACTATCCAAAAACTATATTTTTTTCTGTGTCAAAACTATAAAAATAATAAATATAAGATAGTAATACTTATAATGAGTAGCACAAATTGTTATGTGAATTATGAGGCGAAAGCGACCCTGGTTTGCATTTTGAATAGGAGGTCGGTTTGGGAACACCCTCTATAAGTTTTCCAAAAACAAAGTATATTGCTATGTCAAACTTAAAATTACGAATAATAAGTAACAACTAAATAAGTATTATACAACATTTTATAATAAATAAATATTAATACAATTTTTTTATTTTTATCCAATTTAGAGCTATTATTCTGCCCACCACTGTAAATATGTTGGGTTAGTGGGCCAGGGGGTGGTGAACTGGACCGGCTTCGCTAATTAGAAGCTCAGAGCATTCCGTCAATAGACAACAACAAAGCGGACCATCCACCCCCTCTTTTGCCACCTGCCACCCCCTCCACTCCCACTTTGCGATTCTCCACGACGTTTTCCGTCGACAGCCAAGGTTAAAACTATAAATAGATATGGAGAAAAATCAACAACAACAGCAGCAAACAGCCAACAACAAAAACAGCGAGTTGCAAAATCTATTTTTAGCCGACAGCCGCAAGACGCCGACTGTAAAAAGAGTAGATAAAAAACTTGAACCGAAAACAAAACACGAAAAATAAGACTAAGGCATTCAATTCGAACTTAAGATGCTCTCAAATATAATCCACTTAAACTGAAATAGTAATAATAACATCTTCAGTATCTCAAAACATAAGTATATGAACCTTAAGTAATCCTATCTTTTCTATCTTGTATCTTTTTCCATCTTCAATATCCATGCAATGTATATATTTTAGGAAATAGTTCTCAAAAAAAATTGAATTCGCCTTCAAAGTTTTATCAATGAACTAGAAAATCTTTATAACCAAAGTGTAAAGCTCTAAAACTACTTCCACATCGGCGATCTAGATTAAATAGCAACGAATGATAAGTTCTTGGGCAAACATTTTAAAGATAGCTGTGCTAAACATAGAACAGATTTCATTCATATTTTTAGCAGGCATATAATTACTCATTATCACGAAATCTTTCAAACTTGTTTGTTTGGCAGTCATAATAAAGGCAGTTGATAGCCTTGTCTGATAAAATTCTAGTTGGTAAATGGATACAAAATAACTAAATTCTGGTTGTACTGCTTAGCAAAGAAGTTGTAATGCCTTCAAGACGTATCATTACCATCTACTTGCCATATTTACCATGTATCTTGCAGATACATAATAATAATGGGTAAGAAAATGGCAAAAGTCTGTGTAAAAGAGCTGACCCAAAACATTTTCCGATTCTGTTGCCTCAGCTGGTTGTTTTGGCCCAGTTTAAAAGCTTTGGCAGCAGCGGCATTGGGTCAAATTAGTCGAGTGCTCTTCCCCCCCCTCGGAACCCAAAGTCGAATGGAACCGATTCGGATTTCGACGTACGTGACAACGCACACACGCACTCGTAGTCGCATTCTACGAGAAAAAGCGCCCAAAAAAATACGGAAAAAACAGAAGAGCACTCTCGAGATATCAAACTTGGGGACTACGTCACTACGAAAAGTTTTAAACTCGTCGCTTTTACCCGGCCTCTACGATATCGATCCATGGGATGCAGCGATTTGTAGTAAAGAACTGTAGTATTACACAGAGAAAAAGGAATCTGTATTATTAGTATATATAGTATTATAAATAAACTAGCATCTCTTCAATCCGAAACTATGATAACTTGATATATTATCTACGTTGTACAATCCTTAATATAGTATTATCAAAAAAGGTTGCCTACCTTAAGGCGCGATATAATAAATGCAACCATGTATGGTAACTTTTCTAAAAATGATCAGATTCGATATTTTTTTTAATATCAGGTAAATAACTTCAATTCAACCTTACTGGAAAGTATATTAGTTAAGACCTGTAAGATCCCAGCAATACAATACACCCATCTTACTTACGATTAATGGGTATCGAAATTCCACAATTTCTCTTTTGTGCATTATACATTATTTATGTATGTACTACTTAAGGGCCTCAATAGTTGGTGGGGGCATAAGGTCTTTGGCCATCTGATAATACGATTAGCCTGTTGTGATGCACTGCATTGTTTGCAATTGCAAATAGAGGAAAACCCAGAGAACCTGGGGTGGGGAAAAGCTCGTTAACTAATGTGCGTGGTTTATTGACTCTTTCAGGGTTTAATTACTGCGGAAAATTCAAGGTAATTATGTTTCGTATACAAGAGGGTACAATTGCTTTACAATTGAAATGGCTGCTTCAATTTGCATTCTCGAATTAAAGTTTCTTAATCCCAGAAATTCGTAGAAAATGTTTACTGAATTGAATTTCAATTTTTAAATTGGAAATTGGAAATAGTAAAGGGCAATTTAATATGACCAACCAAGCAAATCACTATTAAATATTTGCACAGGCCAAATTTTCTAGCGTTGCTATAAATAAAAAAATCATTCGTGCTCCCATTTTCGAAGCCCGCAATTTTATTTTTAGGCGCTCCGAAATTTGCAATTTTTTGTATCAATCATTTTACTCGGTTCTCAGCCATTTCTCAAGGAAAATCAATTTATTGCCTGACATATGGCTAAATTTAATGAATATTGTTCGATTATATGAAACAACTATATTTTGAAAAGCTATGTAAATTACAGAATACGGAAGAAAAAGATAATATTTGTGAATTTTGGTCTTGAAAATATGATTTAAAATGAAGGATTGGTAGTTTTATTATAGGAAATACAGAATTGTATATACTTAGGAACGAAGGAAGTTATCTGAGCGGAAGGGTGGGGCAAAACCGACCTGGGTCCCAAAGTTGTTTAATTTCGATATATGATATGCTGGAGATCCAATAACATTTTTACTCGGACTGGTACTATTTAAAAAGGGTAATATTGATCGGAATTATTTTTCAGTGTACAAAGAACTGCAAGTTCGTCGATCACATGGCCCATCTTAGATCCCGCGACTCGGGATCTGCCCAAAACCAATGTCGAACCTACTCGAAAACAAACCATTAACCAATAGCCAATAAACCCCCACTCACATCAATCAATTTACCTGGTCTGTGACGTATTGGCGAATCGGTTCCATGGGTACTCGAATTGGGTTCGTGACTATCAACTGCGACGTTAGCGAAAAACGAAAAAAAAAATATGAAGAAAAACCCAACTAATAACGACTACAATCGGATACCATAAATAATAAATCGGTCGCAACCGAATCGGTGTTTTGGGGCACCGAGGATATAGCCCCCACGATCCCAACAAGGATCGAAACATGAGCTTAATCGCCGTGGAATAGACAATTGTGTGGATAATGTGCGATGTGTGGTGCATGGCAAAGAGCCCAAACTCACCATGGTCTGAAAAGCTGAAAGGCGAGAGAGCCCCCAAACGAGATTTCTCTCCGAAATAAACCGGCTTCGGTTATAAATAATCTCGCTCTCCGTTTATTTATCTTTAGACAAAGTCTCTCCCCTCGACTGTCTGCATTTCATTACTATTTGCACTTATGTTATTTTATTATTCGCAAAAATTTGCAATAAACATACAGTTGCGGTTGAAATAAACAGCATTGAGAACGGTTTACTCGTTTTTTCATGGGTTGCAGTACGTTTTTACATGGTTTTCTTGATATTAATGCAAGTACATGGGTTTGCATAAATGTGTAAATCTTTTCTTTTTGAAAAAAAACCTTTTTAAAATGATAGCATTAAAACATTTTAAATGTATTTTTTAGATTTCCTGGAAAGTATATGGTTTACAATAGCTATTTGAGTAGCTTTGCCATTTTAGTATTGCAAAACTGATCCATGCTGGTTTATTTACAATTTGTGTAAAAGAAGACATTAATAAGGTGGCGCTGTAAACACGAATTTCATGTTTTTTCACCGTCTTCGATGGCCTGTAATGCGAATAGGTTATTACAGTGAACAGTGGTTGTTGCCCTGGGCAAAACTACAATTTGTAGCTTTTCATGAGATATCATTTTTCCGATATTGTCAATGTAACCTTATAATACAAAAGGTTTTCCAAATCGATCTGTGTTTCTTACATTTCACATTGAAATATATTAGAAAGTTAAAGTTGTATTTAATAAATATTTATGAATGTTTAACTAATTGTCACATTTACAGCCTTTTGTCGTACATTTGGGAATAATTATTACTTACGTTTTTATTAGAAATTTTTTTTCTTCCACACCCATTTCTCCAATTACTTTTGTTGTATAAATTGTGCCATTTTAGGGCTTCAAAATGAGTACACTTACAGCCGTTTTCTCATCTGCATATAAAACTTAAAGTACACTTTAAACTCTGAGTTCCCTTAGGTTTTCTAGGTTTTAACCCGTTTTTAAATTTACCATGCGGACAAGAAAACGCTTTTTAGAGTTCAATATGAAATGCTAAATTTGAGAACAGCATTTACAAAAATTTAGTTTTTCATATAAATATTTCAATCTTGGAGATATATACATTTTTAATTAGACCACTGTGCTGTTAATGCCCCAACATTGCAGCGCCCTCTCTCCCGCTGTTAGTTAACATGGCAAGAGAGCCGGGGAGAGGGCTTGGGCGCACCGCGAGAGAGCAGTCGGCAGAGCGGCGGCAGAGGTCGGGCAGAGCCATATAAAGCGGCTGGCCCGAAAACATTGGTATTTGTAAAAAGCAAACCGACGAGCGGATAAGGCGAAATACCTGAAAGGCAGCAGCGAAAAACACGAAAAGCCAGAAACAGCAACCCAAACCAAAACCCAAACCCCAATCCAAACCGAAACAACTCGAACTTCGTGCAGTGTGGCAAACTGAAAAAGAAACTGAAAAAAAAACACAGAAAAAGAAGCGAGTCGAAGCGTAAATAAACAGAGAGAACTGGAGCGAATGCCAAAAAAATAAATATAAAATAAAATACAACCGATAAATACAAAATAGAGTGAAAACCAACACACTCAGAGGGATATAGAAAGACGTTGTTTCCGGAAAAAGCGCGGAAAAGTGCATTTCAATTTTTTTCGAGTGAAAGTTGGGGGCCCACGCCCACCCACGTCCACGCCCACGCCTACGCCCACAATGAACCGTTCGAACAGCTTTGTTAGCTCGCTGAAATGGTGGCCACTGCAGGGCCACAACAATCAGCCGGCTGTGGCGCCACCTACCGGCGGCGGCGGCGGCGGCTACTCCCAGTCGGCGCCCAGCTCGCCCACTTCCAACTGGCCACCGCCACTGCAGCAGCACCAGAACCCCACCGCCCACCGGCTGTTGCCGCCCAACGCCCACCAGAAGGTCGCCGGCGGTGGCATTGTGGGCGCCACCTTCGGCAGCAGCGTGGCCGTACAGAAGCTGCGCGAATCCAAGTGGTTCAAGTCCGAGGAGCAGCGCATCTTCTGCGCCGTCGTCGAGTGCGGCTTCATTGTAGAGATCCGCAGCAGCGCCGCAGCAGAGGCGGCAGCGGCCAATGCTGCAGCGGCGGCCGCAGCAGCCGCCTCCGGTGACGCCGATGTCGACGTCGACGACCTCGAGGAGCTCGACTGCCCCCTCACCGCCCAGCCCCTGACCCCACCAAACCAAGCCCAAAAGCAAAACCAATCCCATTCCCACCCACAGCGGCTGGTCATCCCGCGCAACGGTAGCAGCTTCCTGGAGACGCAGGACGAGAACGAGACGCCAGTCGCCTCCTGGTACGGCATCGTCCTCTGCAAGGTGGCCAAAGGTGAGTGCAGTGGTGCATCCACAAAAAAAAACACAGAAAGAAAAACATTCTAGAATAGTGGGAAAACCATCCCGAAAAAGCACTGAGAGAAAAATAATCAAGAGTTAAATCGAATATTTTGCACTTTAAACATTTTTTTGGATCAGTAAATAATGCATAAAAAAATTATCATTTGATCATAAAATCAAATTAGTGATTGTTCCAAGATTCCTAAACTAAATAAAAAAAAATTGTACTGAAGAAAAAGGCCAGGTTTATTGGTTATGTGCCTTTCTCATATTTATACTTTTGATAAGTTAATACTGTTAATCCAGCTAAAAAAAAACTAGAGCTCAATACATAGATACATAATTAAGTTAAGATGAAATAAAAAAGAACTTGTTTTAAATTTTCAGAAAATAAAAAAAATTTCTGCAATAAGGTAGAGTAGAACTCTGACAGACATTTTTTGCTAAAGAGTGGTTTCATATTATCATCATAAACTTTTTTTTATGTTTAAAATTGATTGAAGTTATTAAGGAAATAATATCTGATACATTTTTCCCGAGACACGAAGCTTCTGTTTTAAGTTGAGGTAAGGGCAAGTAAAAACAGTATTTTATTTGAGAAGATAAGAAAGAAAGGGGTAAAAACGTTTACGCTTATTTATTCTGACGAAATCCGAATATAGTGACTCTAATAGTCTTATCTATTATCTAAATACATATACAATCTGTATTACTTTGTTTGATATTTAATCATTATGTGCAAAAAGAGCAAACAGACGTACGTGGTTCAAACTTCTTGATCACATGCAATTTTATAAGTAGCAAGTGTTACTGGGATTAAATATTTCTTTGTGAAACACTTTTTGTGATTTTGGGATTCGTTATCTTTTATTATTGTTGACAAATGCGCTTTAAAGTTATAGAAAAAATTTGGTAATCCCCCAGAAGTTTATATGGGGTTTTATTTAAGTCTCCTAAAATGGTACTTCTAATTCCCCATAATATTTGCATGCCCTATTTAGCATTTAAGATCTTATTTCTTGCATGGTTTGCTCAGTGTTTATTGCACTTTGAGCTATATAAATAGAAGTGTTTAACTTATTGAGGTTCCACTGTAGTTTCTTCTATAAAAGGATTCAAACTGGCGGCAGAATACCTGGCAAACTATTTAGCTGATGATTAATCACTAAACTTCGGACGTCAGAGAGTCATTAAACTAATCTATGGGTTTTTGGGTGAATGTCGGGATTGTAGAATGTCATTCAATAAACAAACATCACACACATGCGCACTAGAATGGCTAACACACACACACACACATACATATACATTTTTTTTATCTAATCGCAAAAAGTATGCAGCAACAAAAACAACAAGAAGCTTATCAAATGCGACGCTGGCAGCGCAGTCGGCGTCGGCAGAGGGCATTCACTATGCTGCGCCGACAGCTGCTAGAACATTCCAAACTTTTAAGCAAAAAAAAAACCCAAAAACGAAGTTCAAAAAAAAAGAGAAAACGAAAGAGAAGTAAATAATAAATAAACCAAACAAAAAAAAAAGAGTAGACAAAAAGTAAACACAGCAAATGAGAGACTGACTTATGCATCATGTGCCTTAAGTCACGCACATTTCCCACTGTACAGTGAGCACTGTAAGTCACAATGGGTACAGTGATAAGTGCTTAAAAACAACAACAAACCGGGAAGGAAAGCAGAGAAGTGAAAAGCAAGCGATTTTGATTATGATAATGGTTGCGCAGACGGGTCTTCACTGTGTGTGTGTGAGTGGTGAGCTTTGCTGCACAGCCACATAACTCACCACGCCCACACGACTGTTGCATCTCGTGTGCCGGCCAATAACCCACCACACGTGCGGCAAAGAGAGCGGAAAAGAGTGTGGTGCATTTGCACTCATATACGCCACAGCATGGGTCACACAAATAGCACTCTGTTGTTAGAGATCAATTAATTCGGTGGTTTTACTTAAAATTTAGGTTCTTTTTGATATAGTAATATTTATTTAAGTGAAAAGAACTACACAAATTCACCTTGGAATTTAAACTAGGGCACTTGATAAGAAATAAAGATAATATTTTTCATTTAACACTTGTTTTTTTATATAAATTAAAACTTATAATATGAGATTTGATCAGTTTATAATTTTTAAGCTTATATATTTGAAAAATATCAAATTCCACACCTACAAATAACCCAAAAATATTGTTTACCCTGAAAAATAAATAAATAAATAAATAATATAATATATAATACAAATATGTAGATGATCCTATGAATTAATCACTAACAAGATTATCAAAAAATAGTAATTTATAAATATTTAAGCTTAAAATATGAAATTTGATCCGTTTAAAAATTTTAAAATATATGAAATCTGAAAAATATAAAATTCCACACCTACAAATAACCCAAAAAAATTGTTTACCCTGAAAAATAGACAATGATAGATAGTAAAAGTTGATTGATTCCATTATAATGGATCTGATTACTTAAGTTGCTAGGCGACACACTTTTGATTCGCCTCGAAGACAAAGCATTGTCGTGCCTCAGTGCCATTATTTTAACCTGATTTGTATGTGGCAAATATGTGCATATGCAAATATTCGTGATAATGGGAGCTGTTCTAGACGACAAAAGGGCTCAGTGCAGTGCAGCGAAAGAGCCGTCCAATCAATAAAGCCCCAGAATGCATGGCGCTAATCGGTTTCCATGGCTCTATTGGCCAGCCACTGATTATTGTCCAAAGGCAAATTACCCGCACTTCTGCGATTACCATGTACGGCCCCCTAAGAGCTAAACGAGCCAACGAGTGGATGGGGCAAATCTGGGGGCTACGAAGCCGTGGAAATCGGTGGGCCTTGCGCATGCGTGCTTATCCACGATATTTACTATGGCTCCATGGACACGTACATATGACAACACACACGCCCATTACCTCACATCCCACCCACTCTTTTGAATCTGACGGGCGGTATCAAGTTTGATTGATTATCTTGCATTAGAAAGCGTTGGAGAAAATCAAATATGCATTAAATCCGTTAATATATTGAGGGGTTCTCGGGGAACTCAGGTGACACGGCTTTTTTGGTACCACAAGTCGCTATACGAGTATAATCTTTTTATAAAGTGATCATTTAATGTTATAAAACCTTTATATTTGCTTTGTATTACTAAAAATGTATTATCTCTTTAGGTGAAAAACCAAATGTCAACGTTTTTTCGTATGATATTTAAAAGTTAAGATTTTTAAAGTCTATGAAAAAATCACTTTTAATATTCTAAGGAATATTACAATAATACTTTAGTTAGATTTTCGTTTTATATCATATTTTAAGTATTATGAGCAATATTATAATAAGGCATTAATTAGATTAACGTTGAGGTGAGCTCACAGAAAATGCATCTAGATTTTTTTGCTTTAAGTCTAAAGCACCAAATAAAAGTTTCCCTTAATGGAATGTAATTAGTGAGATAATGGGATTTATGGGAACTCACTTTCAAAAGTGCTGCCACAACAATCGAACAACTCATTCAGTCAGCTACCCACCAAAGGCTCTAAACAATTTGAAATGCCGCAAATTGGATGGACATGGCAACAAATAATCATCAACATACATATATTAAGCCGAAAAATGCCATTAGAGCAGGAAGAAGCAGAGGCGGCCGAGTGTTAAATACTAAGGAGTGCTAATTATTGCATGGCAGTTAATTCGCCATTGCCATAACGAATTGTGCAATCAACAATTTGAGCAGCAGTAAGCACCTCATGATCATCCTGGTTGCCTGTGATTGCTATTATGTCATTAGATTTCCGAATGAAGAGCTCCCAAAAGCGCTTAGTATTACGAGATAAGGTATATAATACCAGGAATAACAACGGTTTTTGGGATCTTGATATTAAAAATATCAAAAACACCATTGTTAAAGATGTATAATCCAAACAATATTACCTTATTTATAGAAAAAAATTCCTTAACTACATATTATCCCACACATTTTAACCTTGTACCGCACAGTTTATCATCATTCCTGGCGGTTCTGTGCAAAATCTTTCAATCGATGATCAATAATTAAAATCAATTGATATTATTATTAACTGAATTGAATTCCGTAATTTCTGTTTACAAACATTGCATTGGGATGCAGATGCACCTGTCCGTGGGGTTCTGGTAGATTGCCAGGGAAACAATTCGAAATTGCCTAGATTGATGTTAATGGAAATATGCACACAGTCTAATTTTATTTCTATGATCTGATTCGATTGCAGACAATAAACCCAAGCCCGAGACCATTGAGATATTTTCTGTGAAAATACGTGAGAACGGCACATACAAACTAATCAAGATGCAACTGGCGGATATTTGGAACCATGGATGGGAGCTGCGCATCAACAATTTTGCCGACAAGGAGAAGGTCCCCCACAACGAAAAGGACATTCGCAATCAGGTGGGTGAATATTTACAATATACGAAGGATTCCAATAAAATTATATGGTTTTAAGAAAAGACTTTAAAGAAAAGTAGTAGTTGGTTTGGTAAAAAAAATTTTAAAGATTGATTTAGTAAATAAATAAAAAAATTTAACTCCAGGTTAAAAATATCTCAATCAATCAAATCTCAAAAAGTAATATGTGTAGAAAAGGGGCATATCATAATAACACTTACTTTATAGGTTTTGAATTTAATTTATCGACTTATTTATGCCAAAAGTAAATACGATTTTTAGGTTCGATTTCTCAATGTCAGGTTAATTTTTTACCATGGAGTTTGCTGAGTTTTTTTTTTAACTTTAAATGAAAGCCTAATCCAAAAGCAGAGAATTAAATGATGAATGAATTATGCTAAAAGTTTTTAAGAGTTTTCAGTCAGATTTCTCAACGTCATGTTAATTTTTATCATGGAGTTAAAATTTTTGCTTTGGAACAATGTAGTTTCTTCAGGTTGTTTTTTTGAATATGTTCTTTAAATTATAATCCAAAAACGGAGAAATAAATGATTGTTATCATAGAGTACTTAAAAGTTATTAAAAATGGAATTCTAGCCAAAAATTCTTTTTTTATTTAAAGTTTTGATCGTTAAAATACCGAATAAAATGACTAACCCCCTCGAATTTCCACAGGTTTCGGTGGCGCGCAAGGCCAAGCAGAGTTTGTGGAACAACAACAAGCACTTCGTGTACTGGTGCCGCTACGGAAGTCGTCAGCAGGATCTGCGGAAGCGACAGGTAACGACGAGTGCCAATCACGTGCTCCTGCACCTGATCAATTGATAAGCGGAGCCAGCCGGCGAAAAGCGAAAGGCCCAGAGCAATAACTTAAAAGATTGAAAAGAAATGCTAATGAAAAGCCGACACAGAAACCAAAATTTGCCACTCCCCCTCAGCAACCAACTCCTTTTCCTGATCCCCACTACCTCCCACCACCCACATGCATTGATTGTTGTAGTTGCAGCAGCAAACAGCAAATGAAACGAATGAAAAACCTAAAAAAAAAAAGCTATGTAAAAACACAAAAACACACACAAACCATATACTGACCAAAATCATACACTCAGAATAATGCATGGACTAAAAACGTACTGAGGAAACCAGAAAAAAAGAACCATTAACTTTTCTAGGGCCACACAAGATATATAACCATCATCATTCTGAATCATGCTTGCTTTGCTCATATATATTATATATTCGCCAAAAAAAAAAAACAAAAAAAAAGAGATGCTAACCCCGAGAATTTACACAATTTAACCCGTAGAAACTCAAAAATGCATCCACCCATTCCCAAAACATTTTGTATGATAAAACAACGATCATCTTTCTACAGTACCGAAAGCATTACTTTGTGTATTACGCATATATATAGTTATTATATATATATATATTATTTATATATTTCTGTGAGACTGCAAACTGCCCATTTAATGTTGATGTTTTATGATGTGCAACCAAAAAAAAACCTGGGCCTGATTTTTGATTTTCGATTTCGTCAAGAGAGACTTTGCTTGACTTTCTTTTCTCAACCACTTTCAGTTAGATTTTCCGGATTCAAAGTCCCACATACGTTGAGTTCTTGTATTCAAATGAAAAACAAGCTTAAAGTCTGGGTGAACTGGATTATCTGGCGGATTGGGCGTGTGAAAAAAGCGAACCAAAAGCGAACTGTTGGCGAAAGTGAAGATCGGAAACGGGCCCATGGGCCATGGGCGCCACACACACAGCATACAGCACACCTCCTTGTTGTTTGTTATCTTCTACCGGCACTTAAATTCCGGCCAGGCCTTCATCGCCCAGAACCGAGACGTACGTATTTCTGTTTGTACCCAGTGTCTTACAAGTGAATCTATATTGCAGATGTCGGAGTGCGTGAAATGGGGCAGCGTGGGCATGAATGCGGGCATGCTGCTGGTGCTCAATAATCGGCAGAAATGCCATTCCCACTCAAAGTAACAAGCTAACTAGTTACCTTCTTCATTTTCCCCAAATCGATTTATATAGATGGATATATATATATGAAATAGCTTGCCTACTGCTAGAGCGTAGAAACCACAGAACGATTTTATACAGCAAACAAGTATTAAAGCAAATTCGGATGATAAGATAATTTATGGCTTAAGAACGCCAAGGGCAGTGGAAAAAAACCAAATGCAAATATACGTATTAAGTGCAGAGATAGCCAAGAAAATTCAGTTCAGGGCGAGGGCTTTTTTGGCAGTATTAAATAAAAAAAAAATTGAGGAAATTTTTATAAGATTAAAATCACAAAAAAAAAAAAGCAGGGCGAAGCTGAGCAAAGCAAGAAACATGGCCTAAATCCATACGTCACAAAAACACACTACACTCCCGCCCAAGTTTGTAGAGCTGTTGCAACTGGAGCTACAATTTATCAGAATACTTTTGTATTTACCATTGTGTATATGACACAGAACGAGAGAGAGAGACACACACACACTGTGAAATTCGAAAAGACTTATTAAATATTTGTTTGTTTTTTTTTTGTCCTAATTTTTTGTTTTTCCATGTGATTAAATACGTATACATTATTATATATTTATATATACATTGTGAAAATGGCAAGCATACATGCAAGGCAACATTTATTGTTTTCTTCGTTATTTAAGCGTAGTTAAGAGACACCCGAAGATATACCCAACCTATAAAGAACGGGGCTAAAATCAAGCGAAAACTCTACGTAGCAAGCATAATAATTTATAGCATTGTAAAACAATCAAAACATTCGAAATGTTTCGTTATGTATTTAGCTATTTAGCTCTACGCGACCGAAGACTACGACTCAGAACCGAAAATTAGAAAAGAAAAATGGTATACCTAGGCAAAAATGGCAGATGCAGATGCAGTTTTGCCGGAAAATATTTTTGTACATAGGGAAACTGAAAACTGGACGCACTGTACGGATACGGACTTTTACATACGTAATCAAGAAAGATACAAAATTTACAAAATTAAACTACAAAAAAAAAGAAAATATAAAAGTAAAGAACGCTAGTTCGTAAGCTATACATACATTATTACTTATTTTGTTTAAGTTTTGTCTTTTTTAAGCAATTTATAAAATATTTATGGTAGTCTTATATACATTTCGACAATGTGAGGAAATTTGAATATGAAACGTTTGTAAAATGCTTTATATTGATATTATTATTAAATGTTTACCAACGGATTAAACAATATTTAGCAAGTTTTTGAGATTTATTTGGTTGGGAATATGGGATCTTCAAGGTGAAAAGCAGGTACATATTGAACGAAATTACTTGGATTTGTAGTGCTCGAATAGTACTTTAACGAGCTATTAAATTGATCGCTTCAAAATAATTATATGATACTTCGGTACACACCTTGACATTGCGAACGATAGTATGCCTCTTAAAATCAAATAGATAAAAGTATCACCTTCAATATTAATTGTTTAGCCTTTATCAAACCTGGCGGCATACTCTTCTCTACTTTATGAAGATAACCGAATGTCAATTTAAGGCAAAAAATAAAGTAAATGAATGATTTTTAAAGATTACGAAAGAAAATAAACTTTTGAAGGCTAACATTATATTTAAAAAATATTTTAATATTGTCTTCTTACTAAAAATGCTTTAAATTTAAAAATAACAATGGATTTTACGTTCCCTACTCCAAAGCTTTTCATTGTCCCTATTTCATATATATATATAAAGATCAAGTTTTTTTATCGTAATCAGTCTACTATATCCTATTTTTCGTGGGACGTTTAGAATTTTATCAAAATTAGACAACTATATTCTGGTTTTCCTGAGCAATGAAAGTGTGGAGCACTTGGTGGTCAGCAACTCACCTCTCGCAGCAGTCCGAAGAGCACGTCCGTGGAGAGGGACCGCTCGTGGGCCTCGTCCATTATGATGGCCGCGTAGCTGTCCAGTTCCGGATCGCGCAGACTCTCTCGCAGCAGGATACCATCCGTCATGTACTTGATGACCGTGCGCTCCGAGGTGCAGTCCTCGAATCGGATGGCATAGCCCACGTCCTCGCCTGGAAAACAAAGTAGTTAAGATTATTAGGACTATGCAAGAAGAACAACCTAGCTAATTTTCAAACAAAATAACATTTTTAAACAAAAATCATTAACATAAATCTTGGAAAACAAGTGATTTGGTATAGAAACAGCTCCAGATCAAAGAGATCCTTAGCATTATAATGGGAATGTTATGAGTAATAGAGTTCTGGATATGAAAAAAGGGCTTGTAAACGCCTTCAAAAATAATCCTAATAGTTGCTGAATCTAGTTTGCCTACCCAGCTGGGTGTCCATCTCGTCGGAGACGCGCTTGGCCACCGACATGGCGGCCACTCGACGCGGCTGCGTACAACCGATCATGCCCCGCTGGCTGTAGCCGTCCTCGTGCAGATACTGCGTGAGCTGCGTGGTCTTGCCGCTGCCAGTCTCGCCCACAATGATGATGACCGAGTTCTCGCGAATCACGTTGAGCAGCTCCTGACGCGAGGCGAAGACGGGCAGGAAGCGGCGCTGCTCCGAAATTGTCTTCTTGCGCGAGAAGTCACTCTTGCCGCCCACATCCTGGTCGCGCATGTGGTCGGCGAACTTCTGGTCCTTGCGATAGTCGGCCGTGTCGTTGTCCTTGTCGAAGCGGGCATCCTCGTCGTCCTGCGGCCGCTGCACACCCATGATGTTGCCCAGCTTGGTGCCGCCCAGCTCCCAGTGCTTCTTCTGAGCCTTTCGACGCTCCTTTTGCTCCCGATATGTGCGCACCAGAGCGCTGCCCTTCCGCGCCAGCAGTGCCATGTCCGAGGTGGGATCCTTGACGGGCACCACCGGCTCCGGCTGCTTGGTGAACACAATGCGGCCGTCGAGGAACGGTGGTATGATGTGGTGCACCAGCAGGTGGACCCGCTCCAGCGCCTCCTCATCGAAGTCGTCGTTGACGCTGATCGATGTGACCACGCCCGAGGTGAGCATGCGGTTTCGCTCCCACAGCTCGTTGTCCCGATTGTTCTGCCGCTGCTGGGCGCTGATTCTCTTTGTTCGCTTCTGCTCCAGCTGCTCCTCGCGCTTGCGGAAGTACTCGGAGTTGGCGCCGCCAAATGGATTGTTCTCGTCGTCGTAGCCCTCGTCAATGTTGTACCACTCGCGGTCCAGCCTGCGCTGCTCCTCCTCCCACAGGTCCTGCGACTCCGGATCTTCGCCCCAGGGCGTGGCCCCGCTACGCTTGCGGTCGTGGGCCCACTGATTGTAGCGATGTGCCGGCGTTGGACGGGCAGTATCATCCTGCCGTCCCTGGTGACGCCGGCTGGCACCGCTGCGCACGGACCACTCGCGGGATTGGCTGCCATGACGTGACCTGGGCGTGGGCATGTCCCAGTCCGACTTGCGATGCCCGCCCTCGCCATCCTCGTCGTCCCAGGAGCTGTTGGACACGCCGCCACTGCCGCCCGGTGTGCCCGGCTCCCGCGGCGTGTGCACACTGCGCTCGGACACGGAGCGTTCCCGGTCGCGGCTGCGGTGCCGATCGCGATCCCTTCCTCTGTCCCTCTGGCGACGTCGGTCGCGATCGCGATCACGCTCTCTCTCCCGATCCCGGCGTCGATCTCGATCGCGATCCCTGTCCCTGCCCTCCGCTGTGTAGGTGGAGTTGGCCAGGCGACCGCGTTCCTTGTCGCGTTGGATGTGCTCGCGCAGTCGTTCGCGTGCCTTCTCGGATACGCCGCCCGTGTGCGTTGGCGTCTCGTCCTTTTGCTCGCGCAGCTGGCCACGCAGTTTCTCGAAGCTCTTGGTGTCCGGTTTCTTGAAGGCGAACTCACTGGAAACACCGGATGCGTTGGCTGCCTGGGGCGTGGAACCACCGCCAGTGGCGTCGTCGTACTCGCTGTCCTGAAAGGAGATCAGCCGCTCCGAGCGCTCCTTCTCGGCGCGCCGCTTGGCCGCCAGCTTGTCCAGGCCCAGGAGCGAGCCCTGCGGCACCTTGAAGCCACCGCTGCCTTTTGTTTCGGCTGCGTCCTTGGGCTTTCGGATGACCAGGCCGCCGCGCGTCTCCTGGCCGGCGGTGCCCTCCAGCCGGTGAACGCCGGCCTCGTCGTCGTCGGACATCCTGTTCCGCTGGCCAAGTGGCTTATTGGGCTGGTCCTAGGCTGCTCCTAGTGCTCCAAGTTGGCTTTTTCGCAAGTTTTCCGCGTTGCCGCAAAAACGATTCATTCGCGTTGGCGTTGCTCACAGCTGATCGATGGCGCTGCCACCCTTCTGGAAATCGGTGGACGGCTGAGCTGCCACTTTGGCTGTATCATAGCTAGAGGTAGCCATTGTAGTGCCACAAAAAAGCTATAGTTCTCGGGAATTTGTTTTTAGCTTTTGTACATAAAAAAAAATTAATAAAAACTAAAACAAGGCAGTTATGTCCAAACTGGTTGCCCTGTAGCATTGAAGTTCCTTGCTGTGGAGACAATTTCGGGAGAACGGGATATTCAAAATCAAAAATGTAGAAATAGTTATTTAGCTTATTCACCATCTTGTCGCTGAACCAACCCATTTTAGAAATTTAGATATCCCTTTTGTCACCGCTTTGCGGATTTTTAAATTAAAATTAGGTTTTATAAGCACCACGGACTAATATCGAATAATTACTTATATTCAACATTTTTTTCTTGGCTTTTTATTTTTTGAATTGTTTTGGACTGATGAACATAAGACAGTTTACAGATTCTTTAGTTTTTATTATTTTAATTTTTTTTTATTCACAGAAGTGTTAAACATCATATTTCAATAAAAGTAAATAAACTTTTTAAGTTCTGCGCAAAGTTTTCCTGTAGTAACCTATAACCTGCCAGACTGCTGAAAAAATGTGTGTGTCAAAATGAAACCCCTGTGGCAACGCCCGGAGTTGGCGCCCTTGGAAAAGAGTTCAAAAAACATGAAAACACAATGCTCTTATTGAAGGTTTATTCACATTAAAATGCCTTAATATTCATTCTAGTCTTTCTTGCTCCCCTTCTCCGGCACCGACTGGGCGATCCAGTCCAGATACGGCGGATTGCCGTTCTGGATGGGCAGCGATATGACCTCGGCGACGCAGTACGGATGATTCTCGCGGACGAACTTGCTCAGCTCGTCGATGCGATTGGTGCGCGTCTTGACCATCATCAGGTACTCGTTGTCCTCGGTGACCTTGCCCTCCCACATGTAGATGGACTCGATGTTGGGCACAATGTTGACGCAGGCGGCCAGTTTCTGGTCGATGATGCTGCGGGCCAGTTTCCTCGCAGACTCCCGATCCGGCGTGGTCACGAAGGCCACCGAGCTGCTGCCCGCCTGGTAGGATTCCCCTGATGCGGATGCAGTGGCTGGTGTCTGGTCACCCATGTTGGCACTGGAATTCGAGGAGAAGGAGGAGCACCCTTCCCGGCGGCCACTGGAAGTGCACTGGGCTGAACTGCTCGAGGCGAACGCCGGACGGATTGTGACGGCGGCGGTCGTGACGCTGGCCGCGATCAACAGGTTGCGCACCAACGACCAGCGAAAGGTCAAGAACCTTGGGGAGACACAATATTGCATCAACATGCACTTTGTTCGGCACAAAACGAAAATCCCAAGCGCTCGCCGAAAATTGCAATAAGAATGCAATATAAAAACAAAAGACGACGTGTGTCAAGCTTTGGCGTTGCCAGACTGTCCGAGCCGAGTGCTAGCTACTTTCAAGCCAAATGGCAGGAATGCATATGAGTCCTTAAACTCTAAGGCCGCTTTGCACGACGTGATTTTGTGTTTGAACAAAGTTAACTGATATTTCAGATACCTTATACATAATATATATTCTAAATATGGTTAAAGTATTTCCCAAAACCGTAACGTAATGATAATACCTATCATTTTAGGGAAAATTTACTTTTTGACCAATTTCTGCATTTTTTGTAAAATGAAAAATTTTCAGGTTAGAATGCCAATCGATTGGAAATTAAACAACGAGCTCAACGAGGTATGACATTCCTCATTCTGACTTATACTTTTGTTATGGCAGCCAAAAAAGCGAATATTTTTGGCGAAAAAAAGGGTTTACATTTTTGTCAAAAATACGAAATTCAGATTTTTGCCAAAAATGCGACATTTTTTTTCGGTTTTTTCATCGTAGTTCAGCCAATTCAAGGCGTACAGCTAAAAGACCGACTGTTTTGAGCAGCTTGCTTAATATGCTAACGATCCTCATCATTTTTAGGAAAATTTATTTTTTTACCAATTTTCTCATTTTTTGTAGGGGTTTCATCACATTTTTTTTGAAAAATGGCAAAAAATACAACATTTTCAGGTTAGAATGCCAATCGATTGGAAATTAAACAACGAGCTCAACGAGGTATGATATTCCTCATTCTGACTTATACTTTTGTTATGGTCGCCAAAAAACCGAATATTTTTGGCGAAAAAAAGGGTTCAAATTTTTGTCAAATATACGAAATTCAGATTTTTGTCAAAAATGCGACATTTTTTTCGGTTTTTTCATCGTAGTTCAGCCAATTCAAGGCGTACAGCTAAAAGACCGACTGTTTTGAGCAGCTTGCTTAATGTGCTAACAATCCTCATCACTTTTATGAAAATTTATTTTTTGACCAATTTTCGCAATTTTTGTAGGGGTTTCATCACATTTTTTCGAAAAATGGCAAAAAATAAAAAAATTTAAGGTTAGAATGCCAATCGATTGGAAATTAAACAACGAGCTCAACGAGGTATAACATTCCTCATTCTGACTTATACTTTTGTTATGGTAGCCAAAAAACCGAATATTTTTGGCGAAAAAAAGGGTTTACATTTTTGTCAAATATACGAAATTCAGATTTTTGCCAAAAATGCGACATTTTTTTTCGGTTTTTTCATCGTAGTTCAGCCAATTCAAGGCGTACAGCTAAAAGACCGACTGTTTTGAGCAGCTTGCGTAATATGCTAACGATCCTCATCACTTTTATGAAAATTTATTTTTTGACCAATTTTCTCATTTTTTTCGAAAAAGGGCAAAAAATGAAAAATTTTCAGGTTAGAATGCCAATCGATTGGAAATTAAACAACGAGCTCAACGAGGTATAACATTCCTCATTCTGACTTATACTTTTGTTATGGTAGCCAAAAAACCGAATATTTTTGGCGAAAAAAAGGGTTTACATTTTTGTCAAAAATACGAAATTCAGATTTTTGCCAAAAATGCGACATTTTTTTTCGGTTTTTTCATCGTAGTTCAGCCAATTCAAGGCGTACAGCTAAAAGACCGACTGTTTTGAGCAGCTTGCTTAATATGCTAACGATCCTCATCACTTTTATGAAAATTTATTTTTTTACCAATTTTCATCACATTTTTTCGAAAAATGGCAAAAAATAAAAAAATTTAAGGTTAGAATGCCAATCGATTGGAAATTAAACAACGAGCTCAACGAGGTATAACATTCCTCATTCTGACTTATACTTTTGTTATGGTAGCCAAAAAACCGAATATTTTTGGCGAAAAAAAGGGTTTACATTTTTGTCAAAAATACGAAATTCAGATTTTTGCCAAAAATGCGACATTTTTTTTCGGTTTTTTCATCGTAGTTCAGCCAATTCAAGGCGTACAGCTAAAAGACCGACTGTTTTGAGCAGCTTGCTTAATATGCTAACGATCCTCATCACTTTTATAAAAATTTATTTTTTTACCAATTTTTTAATTTTTTGTAGGGGTTTCATCACATTTTTTCGAAAAATGGCAAAAATTGAAAAATTTTCAGGTTAGAATGCCAATCGATTGGAAATTAAGCAACGAGCTCAACGAGGTATGACATTCCTCATTCTGACTTATACTTTTGTTATGGCAGCCAAAAAACTGAACTTTTTTGGCGAAAAAAAGGGTTCAAATTTTTGTCAAATATACGAAATTCAGATTTTTGTCAAAAATGCGAAATTTTTTTTCGGCTTTTACATCGTAGCTCAGCCAAATTAAGGCGTACAGCTAAAAGACCGACTGTTTTGAACAGCTTGCTTAAAATGCTAACGATCCTTATCATTTTTAGGAAAATTTATTTTTTTACCAATTTTCTCATTTTTTGTAGGTTTCATCACATTTTTTCGAAAAATGGCAAAAAATGAAAAATTTTCAGGTTAGAATGCCAGTCGATTGGAAATTAAACAACGAGCTCAACGAGGTATGACATTCCTCATTCTGACTTGTGTTTTTGTTATGGCAGCCAAAAAACTGCATTTTTATGGCGAAAAAAGGGTTCAATTTTTGTAAAAAATACAAAATTCAGATTTTTGTCAAAAATGCGAAATTTTTTTTCGGTTTTTACATCGTAGCTCAGCCAAATCAAGGCGTACAACTAAAAAACCGACAGTTTTGAGCAGCTTGCTAAAAATGCTATCGATCCCCATCACGTTAGGGAACATTTATTTTTTGACCAATTTCTTCATTTTTTGTAAGGGGTAACATCATCTTTTTTTGCGAAAAATGGCAAAAATGAAAAATTTTCAGGTTAGAATGCCAATCGATTGGAAATTAAACAACGAGCTCAACGAGGTATGACATTCCTCATTCTGACTTATACTTTTGTTATGGCAGCCAAAAAACTGAATTTTTATGGCGAAAAAGGGTTCAAATTTTTGTCAAAAAATACGAAGTTCAGATTTTTGTCAAAAATGCGAATTTTTTTTCGGATTTTCCATCGTAGTTCAGCCAAATCAAGGCGTAGAAATAAAATACCGACTGTTTTGAGCAGCTTGCTAAATATGCTAACGATCCTCATCACTTTTAGGGAAATTTATTTTTTGACCAATTTTACGAAATTTTTTTTTTGGCAAAGGAAAAAAACTTAAATTTTTCAGAAATTTTTGTCGCAATATAGGCCCAAATAAAAACGATCATCTCTTTGTTTAGTTTTTATGATTTAGTAATTTTGAAAAAGGTATGTGAACAAATCATCTTAATAAACACCAATCACCGACTAACATTGAAACACGATAATAAATACATTGAATTATGACCAAACTTAACAGCATAACTAGTGGATGGGCGGTGGAGGAACTCCTCCGGATGGACTTTCACCTCATTTACGATACAAGTCGTGCATTCGCATCATTGCTTGACCGACTTCCCCCGAATCGTGCGGAAGATTCGTCGTCCATGTGTGCCACCAGGATGTTGGGCACCTGCCCATGGCCTTCGCCTCCTTGCCGCCCTCCGTCCAGCGTGTGTAGGTTGTTTTCCTGTTGATCGGAGGTAGGGTAATCATCATACGATAAGGATCATATAGTGGCGCTACTCACCCTGGGGCTCTCGAGAAGCAATTCTTGAGCCATCGGATCGTTGGACGCCGCTTGCCTCGATCGGAGCAATCTCTGGAAAGGATTCGGCACGCTAAACGTGGACGAGGTGCTGGTGGTGGTGAACGTGTCGTTGCTACCAATGCTGCTGGATCCCGTGCCCGTGGTTGATCCTGTGCCCGGTTCCGGTGTGAACCCGACTCCGGACTCGGCGCGTTCGTGCTCCAGGAACGTTTTGGTGCCGCCGAGCGTCGCCAGCGGATTCTGGAAATGCAGGTTAATATTGAGATCCTTGTGGCCGCGTTTCCGGTACTCATAGTACATGTACCCAAGTCCGGCGACCAACGATCCGACGGCCAGCATGAGGAGCGCCATCAACCAGTGGTTGCCCGCCTGCTCTTGCTCCAGTTCCAGGCTGTTGGGCGATCCCGCCAGGATCACCTCGTTGCCGGATCCATGGGGGCACCGTTCGCCCTCGGCCGCCAGTCGGTTACCGCACATGCACTCGTATCCGTAGTTGGCCTGCAGGCACAGCCCGTGGCAGTGGGCATGCTCGCAGGGATGCGACGACGGCTGGGGCTGCCGGGACTTGCCGGCCACCACAATGTCTTGGGCGTTAAGCACATTTAAGGGTATCTTGTGGCAGATCCGGGAACCGTAGAGGGCACACTGCACCGCTTCCACGGAGCCGAGGTTCACAATAAACACATTATTTTCGTACAAACTCAGCCCAGAGGGTTGCATCAAGGCATTGGACTTCTGCAGCATGATCTCAGGTCTTCGTATTGGTCCCGATCTAGTCCGATAGCTTATCCTCTCTAGCGTGCGTGAATGCAGGTCCACGTAGTACAACAACTGCTGATGAGGATCGGTAGTTAGGGCCACCATAAAGCTCTCGCTCTTCTGCAGCAGCATATCCTTGTGACTGCCATCCAGCCTGGCCGTGTGGATCTCCGAGTTCGTCTGGCCAAAGCCCTGCATGCGTATGGCTATGTAGAAGATCTTGGCGCTGTAGCCATCCACAGCCAGGTGCTTGAGATGCTTGGGGCTCTTCACGCGCACTATCCTGCTGCACATGCGTCCCTCGAAGCTGCACGCGTGGATCTCCTGAGCTCCGCTTAGCACATAGACATTGCCAGTGGCCCAATCCAGGGAGAGCTTCGTGGGTGTCGGCAGACCCAAAGCCCGCACTACTCTCCTACTCTTTAGATCGATCTGGTAGATAATACCCTCATCCTCGGTGGAAAAGTAACCCATTTGACGATGCATGTCCACATCAAAGCCGGTGATCCTTGAATCATTCGCTGACCAGGCAACACTAAGCATTACGGGCTGTTCACTCAGATTCCGCACTTCGTTGAAGGTGCTGAAGAGCAGAGTGGCTCCAGATTGAAGGCTCTTGCAGCTGACCCGATCCTGGCGGAGCATAAAGTCCGCATGGCACTGGCATTGATAGCCGCCCATGGTGTTCTCGCACAGCTGGGCACACGGCTGCTGCTCCTGGCACTCGTCAATGTCCAAGCAACTCTTGCGGTCCGCGTCCAGGCGATAGCCATCGAAGCAGGAGCACACGGCGCCGGCGGGCGAGGCTCGGCACTTGTGCTGGCACACCGGGCGTCCCGAAGAGGATCGGCAGGCCGTGGCGCATTTGGGACCCTCGTCATGTCCGTTGGCACAGTCAGCGAACTTGTTGCACACCCGCGACATGTCCACACACTCGCCATCCTGGCAGTCGAAAAGATGTGGCCGGCAAGCCCGGCTCGAGGTGCTCCAGGCGTGAATCTGACTCTGGTTGTGGTTGCCCTTCTCCTGGTCGCAGTTCAACTCATCGCTACCGTCGCCGCAGTCCCTCTGACCATCGCAGCGGAACTCCCGCCGGATACACTGCCGTCCGGAGCGACACTTGAACTCGTAGATGCTGCACACATCCCCGCAATCGGCCTCATCTTCGCCACGGGGACACTCGGTGGTGCCATTGCAGCGCACAGCTGACGGCAGGCAGATCTTCAGATTGCTCGTGCACTGGTACTGGTCCTCAGGGCAGGATATGTTCACCGTAGACGTATCCAGTTCACAGTTCAGTTCGTCCGATCGATCGCCACAGTCGTTGTGGCCATCGCACACCAGACTCCTGTCCAGGCACTGGCCCAGCTGGCAGCGGTGCATGTCCGGCGGACAACTTCGGTGGGCACACTTGTCGTGCTCATCCGATCCGTCGCTGCAGTCAATCCGTCCGTCGCACTCCCAGCTGCCCGCGATGCAGGAACCGCTTCCGCACTGGAACATGCCCGGTTCGCATCGCGAGGTTGTCTCGCACGTGGTCTCATCGGAGTTGTCGCCGCAGTCATTGGTGCCATCGCAGACCAGGCTCGAGTCCACGCACTTGCCATTGTCGCAGGCGTGCTGGTGGACATGACACTTCTTGGTCTTGTCTGTAAAGGGAATATAATAGGGATTTAGTAAGAAGTAAGGCACTGGTACCAGAAAACTGCAGTATACCCCTGATAGTTCTTAAATAGATAGACTTACCGAACTTCTCGCAATGCTGCTCATCCGACTGGTCGTGGCAATCCTTGCGATCGTCGCAGCGCCGGTCCATGGCGATGCACTGCTCTCCATTGTGGCAGGCGAACTGCGCGGGGGAGCACATCACCTTGGGCTTCTTGCGGTGCTGCTCGTCGCAGTCCATTTCATCCGAGTTGTCCACACAGTCGCGCCGTCCATTGCACCGATGGTTCAGGGTGAGACACTCGCCGCTGTGGCAGCGGAACTCGCAGTCCAGGGCCTCCACGCAAGTACGGTTCCCGGCATCCCGGTAAACGAATCCGGCCGGACACAAACAGATCGAGTGGTAGGGTCCCTCGCCCACGCAGATGTGCGAACAGCCGCCGTTCTGCTGCTGGCAGGGATGCGAATCTCGGCCGACGGGTGAACTGGATGCCAGCGGGATTTTCCTGGGTGCGGCGATGGGTGCAAATGGCACGATGGCGTCGGGATCACTGCTTCCCATGATGTCTATCATCTTTCGCGGACCCATGTTGCTCTTGTGCGTCCAGAAGATTCGCGGCGAGCCCAACTCGCTCCAGAACAGATCGTGGTGCACCAAAGCCAGGCTGTAGGGACGCCTCAGTTTGCCACGGAACATTTGGCTCTCCGGCATTGCGTAGTTCGAGAAGCTAATCCTGCCCAGGTCGCTGTCCGACCAGAAGAGCGTCTGGGTCTCGTAGTCAGCGGCCAACCGGATGTCATCATCTCCCAGGTCGTCCTCGAAGACATGCACCTGCTCTCCCTTGCCGCTCAGCGGTATCCTATCTATGTGACTGTGCCGCCGCGCCTTTAGCACCACATACAGATAGCCCTCCGTGGGCATAACACTCAGGCCAATGGGCCACTCCTGGCCCGGGAAGAAACGGATAAGGGCACGTTGACGCGTCTGCAGGGAGAGCACCTCTATCACACCGCGCTCCACATCCGCCCAGTAGAGATTCCGGCTGAGATGGTCGAAGGCCAGGGCACTCACATTGCCCAAACTAGAGCGGACCAGGACGCTGGTCTCGTGCTGCTCTGGCTGGAACTCCAAAATCAAGCGCTGGTCATTGTCCGCTATTATGAGGCTGCCATTAATCCGGTTGTAGACCATTTCGTTGATGACACAGGGCAGTGTGTACGTCTTGCTGATCTGATGGCGTCCAAAGGCGGTGTGCTCGAACTCCAGGAGCACCTGTCCCAATCCCACGAACAGCCGCTGGCGCTTCTCCATCAGCATGCAGCGATGCTGATCCGGAGCCAAGCGCATTCCATCCGGACAGGCGCAACTATGACCGCCAGCCTCGGGTTCGGCCAGAAGGCAGAGATGCGAGCATCTGGCATTCTCACAGCCGTGGGTGGAGTTCGGCTGCTTGGCGGGATGATAGATGTGCACGGCGTAAATGGTGCGGTCCTTGGCCAGGATGCGATGACCCTTGCCGGAGAATTTGTGGCAGGCATGCACGCTCTTCGTTGCCCAATCCGACCAATACAGCTGATCCTCGAATATGGCCAGGCCATAGGGATGCTTCAGCATCCCATCCAGCACAGTACGCCGGCCAGTGCCATCGGGTCGCACCGTCTGGACACTTCCCAGCTTGGCATCCACCCAGTAGATCCTCTGCTGGTGCATATCCAACACAATGCCGTTGGGCCAATGGATATTGTCGCTCACAATGGCCCGTGATCGGCTGCCATCCATGGAGGCACGGCCTATCATGGGCTTCTCGCCCCAATCCGTCCAGAACATCAGACCTCGCTGTGGCCACACGGCCAGGGATCGCGGCTGGTGCACATCCTGGGTGACCAGGACGACACAGTTGATACCATCGTTCGAGCACACGGCTATGTGCCGCATTATGTTGTCCGAAAAGTAGATGTTCTGCGTTAGCCAGTCCACGGCCAGGTCTTCCGGTGCATCCAGACCAGAGGTCAGCAGGATCTCCGCTTGCGTACCATCGGCGTTTGCCTTCACAATGCTCTCCGCCTCGTTCTGGATGTTGGTCCAGTAGATGTGACTGCCATCGTAGGCCACGCCAATCACTTTGCTGAGATTCCCGGCCACCGGGTAGATATGGTTTCGTACGTTGTCCTCGTGCAGGTGCATTCCCATAATGGTCATCTGGGTAGTGTACAGCAGGAGGGGCTGCTGATCCTCGGAGGCATGGACGATGGCGCGGCACGTGCGATTATCTTTGGCTAGCAGGTAACCTGGATCACATACGCATCGATAGCCTCCCGAGGTGTTCTCGCATCCCTGGCTGCACAGATCATCTCGTTCCTGGCACTCGTCAATGTCCTCGCATTTGTCCTCGAACTTGGCCTTCCGAAAACCCGCCGGGCAATGGCACTCGGCTCCTCCGGTGGGCATCATGTGGCACTTGGCCCCCGGCGGACACTTCTTCGCCTCGCAGTTTGGCTTGGAGTGACAGAGGTCAGATTCGTCGCTTCCGTCGGAACAGTCGCTGTGGCCATCGCACACTTCGCTCAGAAGCAGGCAGGTTTCACGATTCCGGCACAGGAATTTGCCCATCTGGGGTTGGCAAATGTCCTCTGAAAGGAAGAGGAGGTTGGTAAAAGATTAAACTACATTTCATTTTGGGATTTATGAGTCTTCTATACTATTCTAGTTATTATTGTTGTAATACTATATTCCTAGTACATTATTATTTTTAAGTAATCAATGTATATGATACATTAATCCGTCTGATCTTGATTTTTTAGGAAAGCTAGATAAGCTAAGATTGTGACTCACCGCATCCCCTTTCATCGCTTCCATCGCCGCAGTCGTCGACGCCATCGCAGACCCAGTTCTTCCGCCGCAGACATCGTCCGTTGGCGCAGAGGTGGCCCGTGGAGGAGCAGGTGGCCTTCGCCTGCTCGCATCCGTCCACCTCGTCCGACCTGTCCGCACAGTCCGCTCGGCCGTCGCACATGAAGTCAGCCGGAATACAGGTGCGATCCTGCTGGCACGTGAACTCGTGCTCGCTGCAGTTGCGCATGCGCCGGCTGGAGTCCCACAATCGGATTCCTGGGCGCACCGGGCAGTTGAGCTCGTCCTCGCCGCCGGGACAGTTGTCGATGCCGTTGCACATTAGTTCCGCTGCCAGGCAGGCTCCGTGTGGCTGGGCACACGGGAACCAATGTGGCGCTCGGCACAGTCGGTAGTCTGGGTGAGGAATAGGGAACAGATTTGTTATGAATTTATACGTAAATAAAATAACAATTATGTAAAAAGTAAAGTAAAACATATATATTATCATGACATAAAATATTATTTAAAACTAAAAAGATATTAGCCTTGTATTGAAGAGGTTTCTGGGACACCCCCGATAAAGAAATGGGTTGGAAAAAATGGCTTCATATTTTCTTTTAAATTCATAATTTGTAATACAATTTATATCTTTAAGAAATGGTTATAAACTAACATTTTAAAATAATATTTTTTAACAAACCCCTATTTTTTTGTGTCAATCGTTACTAGATAAAACACACTTCTTTTTAGAGAAACCTTTATATTAAAAAAAACAACATTGAAAGCAAAATAGCTCCTAACTATACAAATGCTTTCTTTAAGTATATATATTTTAATGAACCATTCGGTTTCAGGTTGTAATCCTAACCTATAAATAGTGCATAATATATAAACTGATGAACTTGGAGTTCCTTCTTAAGATGGTGTTAAGATCAGGAGGGATTTCAAGACTTCGTTTTAGACGGGAACTTTTTTAACTTATAAAAAATGGAACAGTAGATCCTATACTAAAAGGGTATGATCCGGAAAATAGCTGATGGCTTCCTAGTATACCATATAAGTATGAACTTGGGGACTTAAGATCTCACAAGGATGACATATTAGAACGGAGAAAACTACATCGCATAGGAGCATTGGAGGGATCCGTCTCCCCACCCATTTGGTGCCCAAGATCACCCCCTGCTCACCGCAGTCCATTTCATCCGTGCCGTCCTTGCAGTCTCCGCGTCCGTCGCACATCTTCGCCTGTAAGATGCAGCCGCCGTCTCTGCACTGGAATTGTCCCGCATCGCACCGCGTGTCCGCAGATCCCGGCGTGCCGGCAGCAGCAGCACCGCAAAGGCCCAGGACCAGGAGCACCGGGATGGCCAGGTGGCGCTCAACAGCTCGCCGTGCTGCGAGTCCATTGTGTGTTTGATCCTTTGCCTGCTGTCGCAAATTTCCGTAACTGGAATGGCTAGCGCGTGTCTGCGAGGTTAGGTTGAATCCTCGCCGGCTGGTGGTCATCTTCGGGCTCTGTGCCCGCTTCCTTCGCTCGCTGGGGGGCACCTGGTGCTCCGGCTGGCACATTCAACACAAAACGCACAACTTAATCGACAATTAACACTTAGAACGGGGAAAATGTATTAAAACTGGAAAAGGGAACAGGAAAGTATGGCTTGCAGCTTGGAAAGCCGAAAGCGAATTGAACGAGAAAACCGTTCTGTTCCAACGGATCAGGTCAATTGGGCGGGAGCTGGAAAAGCACCGTTATCCTAGTGTGACCAGGGGCACGCGGCGGAAATTCACCAAAAAAGTATTGGGCGGGAAAAAGGGTGCACTTTTACATGGTTTTAAACACAAATATAAACGATATTTGAAAATATTTAATAAATCAACTTAATACTCACAGTTTTACCATTGAATTATGTAAAATAGGTATAGGAAATTGTAGTTTTCAATTTCTTTCCCTTGGAAAATGCATATCTGATTGATAAGGGGTGTGCCAAGTTAAAAATTATACGGAAACTCATCAAAATGATTAAAATGTCTTATTCATTTTTGAATCATTGGGTACAGACGGTACTTTCGCCACAGAAAAATCACAAATTTTTCGAGGACTTCGTTTTAGAATGACATTTTTTTTCGAAGTGTAAGCTAGGAAGTGTAACTAGGTTGCAACGCCCAAACAAACCGCGCACTATCTATTTAAATTTTAAAAAACCCAAACATCAAATATCAAATCACGGCTCTGTTGAATATCGCAAAAGGATTGCACCAAATACAGAGTGATTAATTGGCTGACCATGATGTCAGCGGTGTCGAGAAATCTCGAGCCAAATTGCTGCAGTGGGAATATGCGGGTCCGAAACTGAAACAGAAACATCTGCCCATTTGGATGACCCATTGCAACAATTAATAACGGTTATGCCGCGAGATTTATGAGCGACGACATATAAACAAGACCAAAGCGCTTTAGCCGTCTCGACTCAACCGCCAAATGTCATAAAAAATCAGAGACAAAACCCGAATTGCTTAGAAACCAGAAGAGCACTCACAAATTGTATAATTAAGGAAAGGAGCGAGTGCGAGTTCGTCAGCGACTTCACACGCCGTAGGGGGCGTGCCGCAGTCGTAAAAAAAAACTAACGCAATGCCAAACCCAAAACTGAGAGTACACTGGGAGAAAGTCATTAATTTTTGAAATATTTTTACATCTTTACATCTTACTTTTAATATCTTGGATCAAAAGCAAACAAAAATGGGTTTTATTTCCTGTTCGAAAAAATCAATCAACTAATCAATCAAAATTTTTACCTTGGATGAACGATTTAAAAAAAAAAATTTTTTTTCATGCATGTCGAATGAATATGATGTAAATGAATATTTTTTATATTTATATTTTTTGGACCACCCTAATGTTCATAATGTTGTATAGCAACTTAAATAAAAGTTATGTATATTTGAAAACTGCAAATTTCTCCGAGTGTATGCACTCTATAAGGCGAACGTGGTTTTTCCACGGCCAGACAATTTGGGGGCTTCTCTGCCGGATGAGTCGTGGGATATCGAACGAGCTGCGCTGACAAGCGAACATGACGAACTTTTCGGATCTGCTGGGACTCTATGGAGTCTACGGTCGCTGGTCTTCTGTCCGGTTGCCTGCTACCCGTTGACTAATGGGCCCTGTCCGCCGACATGTCCGCGCCAAGGCGTTAAAATCAGTTGTAAAGTATCTGGGGTGCACATCGCGATTCGCGCTTAGAAGCGTATAAAAACTAGAGCCGGCCCATGGATCAGCAACAGTTGATCGTCGGCTTCCACTCGGTGCATACACAGCTCCCAATCCTTTCAGGAACCAAACATAACCTATCAAAAACCATTCTCAAAATGGTAAGTGATCGCAACAGGAATAAAAACTATTTTAGCAAAATTAAAAAATACTAAACGTTAAAAAAATATTAAAAACGATCAACTATAAATGTTAAAGTATTTGGAACACTGCACAATTTGGAATATTAATTTTTTTGAAAATATTTTTCATATTCTTTTTTAAATTTAAAAGAAGTCAATGTGTTAACTTATAAACGTCGGATTTTATGTGAATTCTTTTTTTAACTCAATTTTTTGATATAGATTATTAGATTAGTCTTATGTATAAATTATGCTTTTTTAAACAGATTTTTAGCTTAACTTATTAAGCTGGAAATCGAATTTTAAAAAAATTATCTATAAATATGTCTAAAAGTATGCAACGAAAATGATTCTTTCGGAATTTTCGACATATAACCCTTCTGCTTTCTGTGGAACCCTTGATTAAATTGATTTTCTTCTTCCCAGAACTCCATGACCATCTTCGCAATCCTAGCCACCTCATTGGCCTTCTGTGCCGGCGATGTGTCCCACTTGTCGCGCAGCTATCTGCCACCCTTGAGCGGTGGCTATTCCGGCGGCTACTCCTCCGGATACTCCTCCTATCCGTCGTACTCCAGCGGATCCGGATATTACTCGGGCGGCGGCGGCTACGCCTCCCCGATCGTCTCCTCCAGCTACAAGAGCTACGCGGTGCCACAGTATACCACCTATTCCACGCCCTCTCGCACCTATTTGCCCGCGAACACGGGATATACCGGCTACTCCGGATACTCCGGCTACAATGGCCTGGACACCCAGTACGGCAGCAACGGCGGCTACGTCTACTAGGCAACCCATTCCGGGAGGACCAGCAGCAATGGAGCAAGCGGACAACTATATTCCTGTATCATATTTTTTTTTTGCCTTGGCTAAGCAATTTTTTTGTGCAATTTATGGCTATTAATATTTTCGATTGCTTTGTAGAATAAAGTTTATACTGACTAACATATATTATGCAGTTTGTTCATTTGGTTTGGGATCGCCTATATAGAAGGGTATTTATTGTATAATTAGCAGGTCCTATAGAGTTCATGTGGCTTGGATCCCCATCTCAATTCGCTAGCCGTTGTATGAGATCTCGCTTGAGATCATAAAACTAAAGAATCATATTTTTCGAAATGTAAGAACCCTTAGCAAGTTCACAAGCAAATATTGGACTTAATGTTATTTCATGACAAATAAATGATGTACATTTAATATTATATTTTTTGTGAAGGTGTTCTATTAATTACTTTATCTTAAAATAATATTTCATTTGCATTAGTCAAACGAATTGAAAGTTATACATTTGTTTATAAAGAGATTCTAAAAACTTGGGATCTAGATAAATACGTACCAGAGCAATTGGCAATCCTCAAACTCTATGGGATAAAGGAGCTTTACCTAAATATTGTTTCTCATTGTTTTGTAAAGTGTTGAAAATTTTCAAGTATTTTTAAAAAATTAATTTTTTAGAATGTTTTAAATATTTTTTTTTTGATTAAATCCAAAATTCTTTCAATTATGCATTATTAGCTTTATTTCTATTGTTAAAAAAAATTGTAGGTACAAAATATAATTGAATCGTTTTTAGTTTCACAGGGAGATCCTTTCAATGCTTCAGGCGGTACTCGTAGCCTCCATTAGAAGCGTAGGAACCCGATTTGTGTCCCGATACGAAGCTGGATCCAGATCGCAGGCCAGATCCTTGAAGCGAGCCGTGGCTGGATCCGGATCCATATCCATGGCTGGATCCAGATGCATATCCATGGCTGGATCCAGATGCGTATCCTTGGCTAGATCCAGAACCATATCCATGACTGGCTCCAGATGCATAACCATGACTGGATCCAGATGCATATCCTTGGCTGGCTCCAGATCCATAACCATGGCTAGATCCAGATCCATATCCATGGCTAGATCCCTGGCTGCCGGCATAGCCAGATCCTTGGCTGGAACCCGCCGAGTAACTCACATGGGAGACGGCTGGGGCGGCATAGCTCTTCCTGGAGACAGCTGGAGCGGCATAGGATCCAAAGGAGCTGGATGCAGCTGGAGCACTGGCGTAGGACGATCCGGCGGAGCTATAGCTGGCAGCTGGAGCCAGATATTGTCTGGAAGGAGCTGCCACAGGAGCGGAGTAGCTGGTATGGGAGGCAGCTGGGGCAGAATAGGAACCAGAGCTGTAGGAAGACGATGGTGCGGAATAAGAGCCATGAGAGGATCCTGCAGAGGAGTATGATCCATGGGATACGGCTGGAGCGGAGTAGCTCTTGTGCGAAACCACTGGAGAGGAGTAACTGCCATGGGATACCACTGACGGAGCTAAGTACTGCCTGGAGGGAGTGGCCACGGGAGCAGAGTAGCTGGTATGGGAGGCAGAGGAGTAGGATCCTTGGGATACAGCTGGACCGGAGTAAGATCCTTGGGATACGGCTGGAGCGGAGTAGGATCCATGGGAAATAGCTGGAGCGGAGTAGGAGGAACCAGCCGAGCTGTAGCTACCATGGGATGCAGATGATGCAGCTGGGGCTAGGTATTGCCTGGATGGAGCCGCCACGGAATGAGCTCTACGGGCATAGGTGGCCGCAGGAGCTGCATAAGATCCCGAAGAACTGGAGGCCGCTGCACTGTACCCACTTTGGGCACCCACTTTCGGGGGCAGATAGGAGTTGCTCAGCGGGGTGACCATTCCCACAGAGGCCAGGGTGAAAACCACAAAAGCAAAGGAGCGCTGCAAAGAAAATTAGAGTGTGAGTCTCAAAAAGTAATCCGGTATATATGGGTATATCTATAAAACTTACCATCTTAATTGGATTCTTGGTATTAAAGCTTTTCTAGCTGCTGTTCCAGCTCGTTGGGAAGTGGAACTGATGCCGCAGCAGCCACGATCCAAGACTTTTATAGGAGAACCATGCGCCGAACAACACATAGGTATGCAGGTGGGTACTAATCTTCCAATCCACCAAAGAAGAACACACACAAAATAGACAAAAAAAGAGAGGTGAAGCGCAAAAAATAAAGCAATACCATTAGAACGCAATGGAATGGGCGGCAAGAGTTTTTGGCGTTGCTGATGATCGTAGTTTCGGAGGCTACTGGCACTCGCCTTCAAGACAAAGGTTCCGAAATAATACTTCCCGGTTATTCTGTTTAGTTTCTTATTTTTGTTATACTAATATGGGAACAAGTTATACATTTCCCACGTTCTTCACAAGACAAACATTTACGATTTAGTCGATTGGTTTGAAAATTAACTAATTCTGTTCATTTTAAAAATCCTCCAAAGGAATGATAAGAAAATTATTACTTTATTATAAATATTTTATTACATAATTATAATTATAGATCAAAACTAGTTAAAAAGTATTATCATATTTTTTATATACATAGATCTATTTAAAGGCCTATCCTTATATGATGATAAATAAGCTCAAAGTTATATTACCGGTAATTGTTAAAATAAGTATGTATCCGTAATATTTAATTTAAGACTCTTAATATTAACTTAAGAAAGTTAATTATAGGTATTTATTATATATTCCTTTATAGGACTATAGGATTTTCCCGTTTGTGTTATAATACATCAAAATTCCGCACCCTGTTGACTAGTGCTAATGAAGAATGGCGCGAATGGAGGATGTCGTAGACTCTATTTATTTGACCGTTTATTTTTAGCCCTGTCCATTTCGGAAGTCGCCGAGGGTAATTAATGATGCGCCGTACCGCGGGTGAGAAGTTCGCGGCTTCGTGGTTAGAGGTAATCCAATCCCAGCTAATCCAAACCGAAAAGCGTTCGACACCTTTAGTTGTTAGAGAAAGGGGCATCGAATTGGATTGTATTGGATTCGAAGTTTAAATTTCGCATTGCGAACTTCGAATAGAGAGCCCCCATGCAATGAGAGCCCGCTTCTTCAAGACACGATTACTCACCTCACACACATTAATTATAATCCACACAAATCGGGCTTAATGGTCAGGCACCTTTTTCCTTGTACCCAAGTGTTTATGTCTTTTGCGTGCGTTTATATAATTAAAAACAAAATGCTACGAGAAGAGGAATTAACAACAAACAAAAAATCGCCCAAAACAAAAAGAAAACATGGTGATACGATGATTGTGGATGTTAAAAATACCCTTGTAGGTCTATATGGTCATGCAATTTGCATAAAATTGTCACAGTCATTGGGGGGAATTTATAACTGTTTAAGAAGCTAAGCTGTTATCATAAGCACTTAATTTACAACCTGTATGTTTTTTATCCAAAAAGTCATTTTAATACGACTATGAGAAATGAAATATAGTATGCAAATATGAGAAAATGTTTTCACTTGTCTTACTGTGTCATAAATAATAATGCATTGAATTCTAATTTAGGAAATATTTTTGTTATATTTATTAAATACCTGAATAACCTCTTTCTTAAAGCTATCATACCCGTTTGTCTTAGAGTAGAACAAGATAATAAAACACATAGTAATTAAATGTTGGCTTTTGAGTTGCGTACTTGAATAGGATGAAAGTCAGTGTGAATTCTTTTCGGAGTTCATTTTGGTCTGGAAATTAGTTTGATGAAGTTCAGATTGTCGGAATCCTATTCGGGAACAGGAAAGAAATATGTGATATGGTTTTTTTTTGTGTTAAATATTTAAGAATGCGTGCAATAATATGTTTTTTTTTGAGAGTGAGTGCTATGGTCAAGGAAATTTATATATGAAGTTCATGTTTTCGTGAATTCGTGTTGTGTATATCTAATATAAAGTATTTGGGTATCATAAGATAATGATATAGGTATATTATGATATCAAAATGTTGTAAATAACACTCCAAAACCCCATAAGACCTTATTTCTTGCGGCTCTGTAAAGGGAACTTAGATAAAGCTTAACTATGTATATTAATTCATCAAGGTTTTTGATATAGGGGTAGTTCTTTTGCAACTGTACTAACATCAGATTTATTTTAATTTTCAAAGTGTCTTTAAAAATGTGAATGTAATCTTTTAAATTTTATTATTATACCATCAATTCCTTAATAATTATTAGTTTCGGAGCCAGGTTTTTCAACTGGGTCCTTGGCGTAGGCCACAAATAGGATGTTGTGCTTGCTGGAAACCGGCTTGCCATTATCCTGGTCGTGTCGCACCTTAAGGATGTCCGAGTCCAGCTCTACTGATCCCACTAGTTGTCCTGGTTTTAGATAGTAGTTCTGGCCCAGTGAAGTGGGTCGATGCTCGGTGACGAAGTGATACCTCATGGGTTCCATCTCCTCGATGACGAGATTGGGTCGCCTGGTGGTAATCGTGGTCGGAGATTCCATTTCCTGATAGCTTACTGGTTGGGCGCCAATAGAAACCAGCAATGCCAGGGCAAAGATGATAATACTTCTGGACATGACAGCGAAAATGCGATTTTAAATTCCGATTCCTGCAAGGGCCTAAAACGTAATGCATTTCCGAACCGCCTGGCGGCATTCTTTTATATCCTCAGCTGGGATTCTCGGATGGAACTCGGGAAAGGCTCTCTGTCCCCGCCAGAATAATGGCCTGGATTCTTGGAGAGCTCATCGCCTTTCGATTGTTTTGCCCGCTGGCAGTATCTTCTTTTTGTTTCCTTGCTCGCTTTGGGCATAACAAGTTTTTGGACATTAACCCGATTTCGATTTCGCACTCAATATATGCATGCTTATATATATTGGGCATACAAATATCGGGGTGTATATAATGCACACACGCCACTTTGGTCCATTCACAAGAGAAACGGCCAAGGCAGTGGAAAAAAAAGCAAACAAAAAATGCAAATTCGGACATACAATTCGCCACATGGGCATATATATTCACATATATCCGTATGGGCTATAGAGTGTAGAGTATAGAGTGGGTCTCGCCCGACGACAGACATAAATTCACTTTGCCAGTCGCACGATTTTGGGTTCGCATCCGTATAATTAATAAGCTCCGCTTTTAATGGCAAATAAATGTTTGCTAGTCGTATTTATTTATCATTTTGCTCGATATACGTATTTATGGCTTCTTAATCTGTTGCGTTAAAGACTTTATCGCAATGGTTTTCGATATGTATAACATTTTTCTAGCACATTTTCCTGGGTTGGTTTGGCTAAGCGAGTTGGTAAAATGACTTCAAAGTTTTTGGGACCATTGACTGTTTAATTGGCTGCGATGTTGCGATTTTATGACCTTTTTATAGGATTTAAAGGAGGCGAAATCTGCTTTTGGTTAATGGTTATGCGCTTTTTTTTAACAAAATCACATTAAAACTTAAACTTAACTGTGAGACAGATGGAAGCTGTGCTATAAATTTTGATTGCACAAATTGTATGCATAACAACTATCTATATGTAAAGATGTTTTTGTAGGATTTATAAGACCAGTGTTTTTAAATTTAATAAAATTTTTAGTAGGGTGCGGAGTGCAATAAAAAGGATGGAATTTGGAATTGACAAATAGTATTTGTAATACTTATATACTTAAATGTCTTACATTTTTAAAGAATAAAATATAAAATATTGAGTACAGCTAAGCTTATCATTGAATTCAAATTAAATTGGTCCCCAAAGCAAAATTCGATCTGAGAATCATAATAAAAGTTGTTGTCTTTAAAGAATAAAAGATATATTTTTGTTCATTCCCGGATCTTCATATACGTAGGTATATGCTAAATCAAGTAAGAAACTATGAGAAACCTTTTATGACTAGCATCTTAGAACTGGCCAAACCACAATAATGTTAAGATTCTATCAAAACAAACTAGGATTAGTCAGGAGCCTACACAGAGAGAAATATCCAAGAACATTGTTCTTGAATTGAGAACATTCGTTCTTAAAAACCGTGTATTGAAACGAAATGGTGAGAAGAGAAAAGTTAAATTGAGTTTATTAAATAAGTATAATGTCGTTCTATTTTTAAGAACATTTTTAACTCAAATGATAACGTTAGAATTATCTCTGTGTAGGAAACAATTTCTAAAATATACAATTTAATAAATATATAAAAATAGATAAATCCCCTCTCTTATAAAAACACTCCGAACTTGATTTTGTGACTAATGCATTAAATTAAGAACATAACTTGATATTAAAGACAAAAAAAACCCAAACAAACTTAATATTCAACCACAAAGTTCCAGGTATTGCGGTTATAAATACTTTTTGATATTCAGAAATTATGCAAGAATATTTTATAGAACCAAATAAAAGCCTCTTTGTTTGTTTTAGCACATTACATTCGATTTATTGTAAGAAAAAAAAAGGTTTCATCGTATGATTAGATTCGTTTTGTATATTTTTTGGGATGCAGTCTTTAGTAGACGTATCCACCGTTGGAGCCGTAGACGGTGCCCGAGGATCCGGAGGAGTAGCTGCTGACCGCAGCGGGAGCAGAGTAGCTGGACACAGCTGGGGCGGAGTAGGTCTTGACCACAGCTGGGGCGGAGTAGCTGGACACAGCTGGGGCGGAGTAGCTCTTGACCACAGCTGGGGCGGAGTAGCTGGACACAGCTGGGGCGGAGTAGGTCTTCACCACAGCGGGAGCGGTGTAAGTCTTAGTCACCACGGGAGCGGTGTAGGTCTTAGTCACCACGGGAGCGGTGTAGGACTTGGTCACCACTGGAGCGGTGTAGGTGGACACAGCTGGGGCGGAGTAGGTCTTGACCACGGCGGGGGCGGTGTAGGTCTTGGTCACAGCCGGGGCGGAGTAGCTCTTGACCACAGCGGGGGCGGTGTAGGCCTGGGTGTAGCCACTGGACACAGCTGGGGCGGAGTAGGTCTTCACAACAGCGGGAGCGGTGTAGGTCTTGGCCACCACGGGAGCGGTGTAGCTGGACACAGCGGGAGCAGAGTAGGTGGACACAGCCGGGGCGGAGTAGGTCTTCACCACAGCAGGAGCGGAGTAGGAGGAGACAGCTGGGGCAGAGTAGGTCTTGACCACAGCTGGGGCGGAGTAGGAGGAGACAGCAGGAGCGGAGTAGCTGGACACAGCCGGGGCGGAGTAGGTCTTCACCACAGCGGGAGCAGAGTAGGAGGAGACAGCGGGAGCGGAGTAGGTCTTCACCACAGCTGGGGCGACGTAGCTGGCGGCGGGCTCCTCGTAGGTCTCCTCGGCGGCGGACTCGGCGGCATAGGAGGCGGTCTCAGCGGCGGCGGCAGCTGGAGCGGCATAGGACTCGCTGTTGTAGGAGGCAGCTGGGGCGGCATAGGACTCGCTGTTGTAGGAGGCAGCTGGGGCGGAGTAGGACTCGCTCTCGTAGGTGGTGGCAGCGGCGGCGGCGGGAGCCTCGTAGGTCTCCTCGGCGGGAGCAGCCTGGTAGGACTCGTAGCTGTTGGAGGCAGCCGCGGAGTGGGGAGGCAGGTAGGTGTTGGCCAGGTGGCTGACATCGGCCGAGGCCACAGCCAGAAGGGCAAGCGAAAGGATGGCGAAGAATTTCTAAAAAAAAAAGATAATAATGATATAAGATTATAATGATATAAGATATAACAATCTCATCCAATGTATTCAGAAGTATTTTTTAGATATCCCTAGAACAGGATCTCCCTGGAAGCTAGAGCTTACCATGTTGCTGGGACCGAAGTTGTGAGAACACTAGTACCTTCTCCACAAACAAGCCACTTATTTATAGTCGCCAAAAATGTCTGGCCAACTTGATACACGAATGTCAAAAGGCGCTACGAAAACCAGAACAAACGCACACCGAAAAGCCACACAAACTATATCGACGATACCCGAAAACCCGCCATTCGAAAATAAAAGAGCCATAATAATGAAGCATTTCGTCCGCGGAGCTCATTAGTCGCCCATAATATTCCTACTTTTCCCCCGTTTCACTCCCCTGCTGATTCTGATTCCGATTCCTATTCTTATTTTGATTATGTTTCTTTCTTATTCCGAATATGAATCTGATTCCAATTTTGTTCGCGAATCGGAGAAGGAGATGATGTTGATAAAGTGGAAGAAATGCTATAGATGAGAAATTGCAAAAGCGGGCTGTACGAAACTCGTTATTGAACTCCATTCATAAGTCGGTTCCGTCACTTACTCATCCATCAAAGTTACAGTCCAGACAAAAGGCCCCCAAGAAGAGCAATACCGACTGAACGGTAACTCCATTAATCATAAGTGGGGACTAGCCTGGAAAACAATGGCTTACATGTCGGGAAACTTTACGGTATCGCAGTGTCCGCTTGTTGGGAATATCCGAAGTTATTATCATCCTTGAGATATTTTTAAAGCATATCCCAAGATTGTATATCATTTATATAATCATTATATCATAATGTCATATATGTATTATAAAAAAAGTTCTTATAAAATTGAACAACATCTAATTATTTCTCGCTTATACATTTATTTTTAGATCAGGACCTTATATTGGACCCATTGTAATTAATCTCTTATTGAACTCTCACTGGAGTCTACTGAACCTAACAATCACAATTAATTTATACTTCACCGCAACATCAATAAATATCAGCAGCTTAGAAATTCAATTTAGCTATTAGAAGATTATGTATCTTCTTTATAATTTATTATATCAAAAACCGCTTTGGGTGATTTATAATTTGGTTGCTTACCGTTTTGTGAACTTGCCATAACTCAAGACACACATTAGAAGATGGAGTTTCACGATAAGTACTGGAATATTTAGGAATGGTAATAGACATGTGAGATTTATTTGTCATGGTATGAAATAGCACTTCTTTTAATCCAACTAAAAATATTTTACTTTAAAGCCTTTCCATTCTCTACGATGATTGTGAACTATTTATGTTTATTAAATGGTACTATAAATGGAACACAAATGAAACCCAATTAGGAAACCGGTTTCCCAGTGCCCAAGTCCTGCTAAATGTGTCATCAAACTGAGATAAATTTATTATACCCACTGCCATTCGAATGCTTCACGACTTCCTTCTCCATAAAATATTCAAATGAAGGCATACATTTGTTTGTTCATATAACAAAAACAGTTTATTGATTAACAAAAACGTAACAAAAATTGTATAACGATAACAAAAAATGTGCTAGAAATTGGCTACGTAACACTAAGTTCAGATGAACCGATCAGCGATTAATGTTCGATCCACAACTCGATGCGAGTTCGGACCTCCGCTGGGGTCCGTTCACGGGCATCCTACTTGTACAGGTAGCCACCGTTGGCGGCATAGGTCGTTCCGATCTCCACGGGAGCTGGAACTGGAACTGGAGCGGGAGCGGCCACGATCTCAGTCTTCTGGACGATGGGAAGGGGAGCAGGAGCAGGAGCGGGAGCGGACTGGGTGTAGGTCACCTGCTGTTGCACCACCGGTGGGGTGTACTGTACAATGGGTTGGGGTGGCTGCTGGACGGGAAGGGGGGCAGGTGGTGCTGGCACAAAGGATTGCTGGAGCTGCACAGGAGCGGGAGCGGGAAGGGACACCTGAACCGGAGCTGGAGCAGGAATGGACACGGGCTGAGGAGCCTGGTAGGAGTAGCCACTGTATTGCTGTTGCTGCACAATCTGCTGAACCGGTTCAGGGATCGAAACGGGAGCCGGAGCGGAGTAGGTCTGTTGAACCACTGGAGCGGGAGCGGGAGCCGAATAGGTCTGCTGAACCACTGGAGCCTGCTGAACCACTTCCTGCACCACTGGAGCGGGAGCGCTGTAGGTCTGTTGAACCACTGGAGCCTGCTGAACCACTTCCTGAACCACAGGGGCTTGCTGAATGACAGGGGCTTGCTGAATGACAGGAGCCTGCTGAACCACTGGAGCTGGGTAGGAGTAGGTCTGTTGAACCACTGGAGCCTGCTGAGCAACTTCCTGAACCACAGGAGCCTGCTGTATCACAGGTGCTTGCTGAATGGCCTCCTGAACCACAGGAGCGGGAGCAGCGTATGTCTGCTGAACCACTGGGGCGGGAGCGCTGTAGGTCTGTTGAACCACTGGAGCCTGCTGAACCACTTCCTGTACCACTGGAGCCGGAGCGCTGTAGGTCTGTTGGACCACTGGAGCCTGCTGAACCACTTCCTGAACCACTGGTGCTTGCTGAATGACAGGAGCCTGCTGAACCACTGGAGCTGGGTAGGAGTAGGTCTGCTGAGCAACAGGAGCTGGGGCGGAGTAGGACTGCTGAACCGCAGGAGCTGGAGCACTGTAGAACTGTTCCTGAACCACTGGAGCGGGAGCAGGAGCAGAGTAAGTCTGGTGCACCACCTGATGCTGTTCATGGATAGCAGGAACTGGCACTGCAATAAGAACTGGGACGGGAGCCGGAGCAGAGTAAGTCTGCTGGACCACAGGAGCCGGAGCACTGTAGTGTTGTTCCTGAACCACTGGAGCTCGAGCAAAGTAAGTCTGCTGGACCACTGGAGCTGGAGCACTGTAGTGTTGTTCCTGAACCACTGGAGCCGGAGCGGAGTAAGTCTGGTGTACCACCTGATGTTGTTCATGGATAGCAGGAACTGGCACCGCAATTGGAACTGGTGCGGGAGCTGGAGCCGAGTAAGTGATGGTCTCCTGCTGTGGTGCAACGGTTTCAACCACTGGCTCTGGAGCGGGCACAAACTGCTGGACGGGAGTGGGTGGCAGATAGGCGTTCCTCACCGCTGTCTGTGTGGCCACAATGGGCTTGGGTGGCTCGTAGATCACCTGGGGAGCTGGCTGGGGGATCTCAACGGGAGCAGGAACAGGGGCTGGGATCGAAACTGGAGAAGGGGCAGGGATAGAAACTGGAGCAGGAACAGGGGCAGGGATCGAAACCGGAACCGGAGCCGGAGCACTCTGGTAATGCTGCTGTCCGCCCGAGTGGATGGTGAAGCTGGCCAATGGGATGGAGGCCTTGATGGACTCCACATGGGCCTGGATCTGTGGCTGAATGTGGACCTGCGACTGGATCTGATGCTGGATCTGCTGCTGAATCTGTGGCTGCACCACCTGCTGGAAACTGGGCGCAGCGGACACCTCCTTGAGGGGCAGAGGTGGCAGATAGCCATTGGCACCGGGACGTCCATCGACCACGGCCAAGCTGAGGGCAGCCAGAACGATAAAGGCAAAGGGTTTCTGGGCGGGAGAAGGAAATCATATCATCACATATCACTTGGGTAAGCACTTGAAAAAAATTTGTAATGAGATGGCCACTTACCATCTTCACTGGGGTCACAGAAAACACACAGAGGGGACTAGAGGTGCACCGAGCGAACGTAACCGATTAACTGATGACCATCTTGGAGACCCCGTCTGCATTTATAGTTGCCAGTTGGCAGTTGGCAGCTCTCCCCTTAATTGGTGCGATACCAAATGCCAGATGGCCAAAACGCCACGGAGCGGGGGGGAATGCTAATGCAGATGGCCAACAATGAAATCATGCAAAACACATCTCATTTTGGTGCGGATTATTAAATGGCCAAAAGCACGACTCGCAGACCCAGAGACTCAAAGACTCAGTTTGATAACAAACAGCCCAAAATGGCTGAGGACGGTTACACATTAAATTTTAATGTGTATTTTTAATTCTTCTGAGGACTCTATTTATTACAACTTCAGCCACGAAAATCCATATATGCATGGTGAAATTATATTAATTTAAAACTGAAAGTCCATCAAAAGATGCACTAGTCTGAATCAAACATAAATAATTCTTATTTGACTTATTTTAAAAAGTATACACATAAGCAATTTTAAAATGTATAATGTTTAAGCTGTAGACTTTTGCAAAGATTTATTAAATTAAATCTATTCTATAAAGGCTAAACTAAACATGATTTTTAGTCTATTCTGCTTAAATATATTATTTTAAGAAGGTACATGTGTGTGAATTTTTATACATATTTATAATTAGTTAGTTTCTTTCAGTGCATACAAGTCAAAAACAAAGTTTGAAAAATCAAATGTGTATTCAAAAATTGTTCAAATATTTATCAGTCGCGAGTTTGCTTGATTTGTGTCCAACTGTCCAATTGACACCTTAGGCACTCCAACTTGAGTGCATTGACTTTATCTTCACCAGGTGATATAAGATGCATTGCTTGGTGAGTTTAAAAAAAATCATTAAAAAATACCAATATTTTCTAGTGTTCAAAAATATTTTAAACATGCCCATGGTTGTATAACATGTTTGAAAAAAAAAAACTTAACAAGAAACCCATTGATCTTTAGTAAAGATAAACAAATGTAAATAAGTATGTCATTCCCATTGAATAAAGATAATTTTAGTTTATTATAATTTGTTATTGAGTAAAATTGACAGTGCTGGAAATATTATAAAACTATTTTAAATACAATTATAAATATTTTATAGGGTGTGGGTAGTTCTCAGTATATTTAGCATAGTTTAAGCCAAATAAAGAAATTTAATTTATTGGATGGGGTTGGCTAACCAGTAGCCACATTCTCCCAAAAACCCCCTAAAACTTTTCACACACCAACACTTTCGACCATTGTCTTAGCCCTCGGGTTGAAATTTATGAGAAGATGTTAATCGGTTATGGGCCCACCAGGCCGATTTCCCAACTCACTCGATCTCACTCGGTGGCAGATATGTGTCCAACCTTCGGACGTTTTCAATGGGCCATAAGTTATTGGTAATCAGGGGCCACCGATTGTTCGATATGGATATGGATATGGATATTTGATTTTATATGCATCTCGTAGGCGTGTGTCGTAGATTATGATAAGCATGTTAAGGGCTTACATTCGAAGTATTCGGAGATAATACAATCTAATAATAATGCCAGTTAATACGGATCTTCGGAGGCCAAATTTGAATGCGAACTTCTGCACCTGAACGCACGCGCCTCTCAAAAAGGCCCACAAAAGTGACAAATTGAAAACAAGGTTCAGGTCCACAAAAGAAAATGTCAAGTTGAGGGCCCCTGACAACCGCGGGCACAGTGTGGCTTAATTATGACTAATTGCTGTGCGAACAACCTCTATATCCGAAAACATATCTCACGTCGGCAATGAATATTCAAGCGGGCGAAAATTGCAACAAAATGCCAAATGGATATGCCAACCGGGGAACATCCGAAAACCGAGCACGATTTGCATAAAAAACCCACGAATGGCTTACGTTTAAAAGCAGCAAAACGCTTTACGGAATTTTAGATCACAGATCCCCATTTATCTTTATTAAAATACTAATTTTTTAAATTTATTATTTGCTTAAGCAGTTCGTACAACATCTGATATCTGATCTAATGAAATAACATAATCCAATAACATATATACAATATTTTTACTTTAAATAGAGATCATATTAAAAAAGGGATAGGATTTTCTAAAAATCCAATAAACACCAAAACAGTAAATACTTAAAAAAGGATTATAATCATTAAAAATAAGTACTACTTTGGTGGGCGAACCTCTGGTCACATATGTAAGTCCCCAACTGATGTAAGATGATATACCAAGTCTAACAAGCTGACAAAAGATCTCCCACCTTCTTTCCGGACAAAAGAGCAATAGTTATTTTCTTCTTTTTGCAGACTCTTCCAAACCCATAAAAAACATGTCATAAAAGCTTTTAAATGTGCTTACCGAATCCCAAACAACAACACCACCAAATGCTAAATATAAATAATTCAGTGAAGATATAAAGAAAAAAGATGAATAGAAATCAATTCGAGTCGTTTCAAGCCTAAATCGTTTTTATTGTTAGGATTTTGAATATCTATTGAAATCAATGCCCAAACATGGGAATTGAATAGGTCTCTATTAAATCGATGGAAAAACCCCCTATTAAAATCCCAAGCTAGAAAAGAAATTAATTATCATAAATGTTCTTAAGGGAAACTCTTTGACGTCAGAAACTAGTTTGGCCATACAAAGAACCGATTCTTTGAATTTTGCAGACATAACAGATATTATTAACATAAATCGATTATGTTCGCCCTTTTGAAGGTCAGCTTTATTTTCTACATCTTTTCTACGCTTTCCTATGACGTCAATTTGTAATAAATCTCTGGGGGTAGAACTCATTTTTGTTGAAAGCCAGATAATTAATTGATTACAAAATTGGCTGTTTTATTGGCATAACATAAAAGTTACAAGATTTTTAAAAGGTACACCTATTTTGATTGCTTATAAGAAAAAAAATATTATACCATATTAAAGGAACCTTTTTATCTTTGCGGTTATTAACAAAATATATGAGTTTATAACATATATTTCGACCGTCATATAATCCAACATTTTTTCTAGAAAAATCTTAAATATAATCTTGAGCTAAAATATTTGGTCAGCTATATAATCAAACTTTTTTTATAGTACCATTTTAACCGGTATTAATAAAATGGTGGGTATTTTTTTACATTCCCTTGTATCTCTATAAATTTATAAAATTGATTGATTGACAGACATATGACTTAATATCATTGATCTTTACTTAGTTCTTTCCCAATATGGACGTCAAATGTCCAAAGTTCAATAAACTTTTAGGGATGCAGCCCATAGATTATAAATTATGTGTGGATAATTACCCTAGGACTAGGCTTTTGAGTCACAACCAACCCAATAATCAAGTTTTTTTTACTCAGGCTTTTATCGCCTTGTACCAACTTTTCAAGACAACATAATTTATGGAACAAATGTCTGTCCACTTGGGGTTTGCATAAAACATATGTTTATTTGTATCAATCACGACGATAGATTGTCTCGTTTATGGATATCAGTCAGTTTGGCGAAGACATCGACTTCGATTTCGATTAGCATAAAGACAAACGTTTTGACTGTCCGCGGGTTTATGGCCCCAAAGAAAATAAATAAATAAAAACACAAATGGAAAAATACGAAATAAAAAATGGATGATAATTTATAATGAACATGGTGATGCACTACTCAATCACCCCAAGTTAGGGGTGCTATAAAACCCAGGGATTACTTGGCCCTCTGGTAGACATAGCCGCCATTTGTTGCATAGACAGTGTCCGCCCCACTTTTGGGATCATCTGACAGCGGAGGCGCCACTACCTTCCTCTCGCCCTCCTTTGACTGCTCCTTTGCCGCCTCATCGGAGTAGCCCGGCGGAGCGGGTCCTCCGAATCCGGGGCCAAATTGCTGATATGGATTCTGGCCGGGCACAGGTCCGCCGAAGCCCACGGGTACATTAAACCCATTGGGATAGAGTCCTTGGAACGGTCCTTGGGGATTGGGCGAGGGAAGTCCCTGGTTGGTCAGGAATTCGGGTGGGTATGGAGTTCCTGGTGGTGGGAAGGGTCCTCCTTGTGGTGGGAAGCCAGCTCCAGGGAAAGCATTTCCGAAGGGAGGTCCCTGAGGTGAGAAAGGTCCTGGCTGTGGTGAGAAGGGTGGTCCTTGTGGGGGAAAACCTCCTTGCGGCTGGAAGCCTCCTGGCTGTGGGGCAAAGCCTGCTCCCTGTGGAGGAAAACCAGCTCCTTGTGGTGGAAAACCTGGTCCCTGAGGACCGAATGAGGCTCCACCATTGGGATAAGCTCCACCCGGAGGCAATTGGTAGGCAGCATTCGGTGGACCCACCGGGAAGGGTCCTCCATTGGGATAGGCCGAGGGCACTGGACCGATTCCTGGACCCACTCCCGGCTCGCCAGGACCCCCACCGAACCCAAAAAACGGTGGGTAGATGGGCAGGGGGAAGTTTGGCGGCTGGACAGGCGGAGGTGGAACATTACTGCCCGTGGGAATGGCATAACCCGGTGGCAGGGGCAATCCATTCGATGGATAGAACCCAGACGGATCCTTCTGAGTCTCCTGGCCATCATCATCGGACCGTTTGGATAGTGCATCTTGTTCCGCCCTGGGCGGTATGTAATCCTTGGACAGGTGACTCACATCCCCGCTTATGAGGGGCAGAAGTAGGACCAGTAGAACGACCCCTGGCTGCATCATCTCGAGGTCCGGCTTTATCTCTGGGTGCTTCCACGACGACGGAAACTATGTGGCCACGGGCCTCGGAGACGGCACTTATAAGACTTCATATCAGCATGTTATATAAATCGCTACCCGGCTCATTTCACTTTCCCATTCGGCGAACGGAAATTGCCTTGCATCATCACAAAGGTTCCATAAATAGTCGCGGATCTGTAGATCGAAGGTGCGAGGGGAAGTGTTAAAACTGAACTATAAAAATAAATTTGTCGGCCGAATTTAACATAAAGTAACACCGATATCAGATGGTAAATTTAGCATAGGTGCAAAAGAAAACGAGGAAATATTGTTTACAGGTTGCATTTGATTAATGATGAACCCATGAACCTACTTAAAAACAAATACGAGTCGAAAATAGATGAAAACTTTACAGCCAAAACCAGTGTTGATAAAGCACAAGAAAAGCAGCGAAATATCTTTATTTCTAGTAACCAAACATAATACAAAAAAGGATTTATAATAAACTTTAGCATGTATTATTTCCAAACTTTAATATATTTACTAGCAATTGCGCCTTATACATGGCCTTTGATATAGTTATAAGCGTTCAAGTGTTGAAAAATGCATATTGACGAAAGAGCTTTTAAAATAAACTATTAAATTATAAGCTTTATTTAATTTAAAGTCTTAAAATTAACAGTAAAGCTTCAAAAAGTTAGTAACAACTTCCAAGTTTAATCAAAGCTCTAAGGTGTTTATAAAAAGCACAGCCAAAGCTTTACGTTACATTTGTTAGCTCAATAACTAAAAAGTGTCAGTGTTGTTAGTGCGCGTCTACAACCTGAATTCGTTGAATTGAATAAGATGAATAAGCTGAATGCAAGACTGAAAATTATGGTCTTGATGGAACAATCAAATATTGATACATTATAGATTAGTCATTGATGCGGTTCAAAAGTATATGTTCTTGTTTTACTGGTTTTTGTTTAAGTTAGCAAAAGAACTTAGCTATTCTAAGCAATGATTTAATGTTTCTGGTTTGATGTGACTAAGTAGGAAGTTCCTTACATTCATACACTTATGCAGATTTTAATTTCGATATTTGCATTTATCTAAGGGTTTCCTTATGTTTTTTAGGAAATGTGGAAGGAACCAGTTGTGTATTTAAATTACATTGGTTAACAAAATTAAATCAAAGCGAAATTATACTTAAATACTCTATATACAAAACACTAAGCTTAATATTGGCTTTTGTCTCTAAAACATCGACTTATGAGAACATATTGTTTCTATACAAGCTATAGTTTATAGTGGCCCGATCGGGAAAAATTTATTTCCTGATCAAAGATCTATAAAAATATAAGATATGAGAAATTCCAAGTCGTTGGGGCAACTGCTAGACCTTAAGAGATATAACTAAAATGACCCTTCAGGCCGAATCCTGACGTTACATAATACCATTTTCTTTTAATTATAAAAGCCAAATATAGATCGATCGATATAGTCAGTAGCTGCGATTGAAACAGGTATTTCAATGGTATGTGCAAAACAAAATATCAAATTGATATTAATTATTATCAATTTGATATTTGTGATATCAAGCATTAATTAAAAATTATCTAAGAGGTAACAGGTTATAAAGTATATATATTATATTTTTTCGAGTTCGGGATTATATGCGCTAAGATTTTGGAAACTATACGAACTAAGAAGTTTCGATTTGACAAACGTTTGTTATCCAAATGTTCCACGCCCGCAAATATTAAAAGTCTGTAAGAACTGATTTGTCATTCGTTTGATATGAATATTATGTATAAAGTTGATGGAAATAGTATCAAAATTTTAGCTGTGTACAAACATCATTGGCTTTGAAAACTATATCCCCATAATAAAAACAAGAAACTTTTTTAACCCATTCTTTTCTCTACATAGGGGAGAGGTCTGTAGTTTGAAGAACATTTTGTTTCCCAACTTACTGACCATCCCAACCTTAGGACCTCTTCCCTAGATATTTTTATTTAATTTTTACAGAGGAATTTAATTCTGTAAAAAAGTTTGATCATATTATATCTTTATTTTGTTAGTAATTGTTAAGTGGGAGTCGCCCTCCTTTTTAATCCTGAGCCCCATTTAAAAACCATATTTCTTTGGATTATTGTTTTTTTATATTTTCATTGTTAACGGAGTTTACAATACAAAAAAAAATTGATGGTGAGTTGGGGGCAGTATGTAGGTATTTACACTGTTTCGTATTCAGTTGCAGGCCTCTGATCTCGAGTTCCTTACTTCCTGTAGACGTAGCCGCCGTTGGAGGCGTACTGGGTGCCCACATCCACGGAGGGGGCGGAGTAGCTCACCGAGGGGGCGGAGTAGCTGACGGCAGGAGCGGAGTACGACTGCTGGACAGCAGGGGCGGAGTAGCTGACCGAGGGGGCGGCATAGGTCTGCTGGACGGCAGGGGCGGAGTAGCTGACGGCGGGAGCGACGTACGATTGCTGGACAGCAGGAGCGGAGTAGCTGACCGAGGGGGCCGAGTAGCTAACCGAGGGGGCAGGGGCGGAGTAGCTCACAGAGGGGGCCGAGTAGCTGACCGAGGGAGCAGGAGCGGAGTAGCTGACCGAGGGGGCGGCGTAGGTCCTCTGGACGGCAGGAGCGGAATAGCTCACCGAGGGGGCGGAGTAGGTCCTCTGGACGGCAGGAGCGGAGTAGCTCTGCACGGGGGGCAGGTACTCGCTGCTGGGGGCGGAGTACGACTGCTGGATGGCAGGGGCGGAGTAGGTCTGCTGGACAGCAGGGGCGGAGTAGCTCACCGAGGGAGCGGCGTACGAGTTCTGGAGGGGCGGCAGGTACTCGTTGCTCAGGTGGCTTACGTCGGCGGCCACGCAGGCGAACAGGGCGAAGGCAACGAGGAATTTCTGCAAGTAGGATAACACTTTTCACATTAGCACATTACAAATCACAAATAATTTAAAAAAAAATTTAAAAAAATATTTTTTTTTAGTTTATAAATGTCTTTATTAGTTGTATTTAGCAATACAACTTGTAATCCTTCACTGACCATTTTGATTTTGGCTTGTGGGTTTGGATGCGACTGTGCTGGATGAGCTAGAGGCTGCGACTGATGCCGGTCCCTAGAGCGGGCCTTCAATTTATAGCGGCCGGCCGGTCCGAAGAAAAGCCCCGGTTCGTAGCGGGCCAAGCTGCAGTCGCAGCTGCCGAGGAAGAGGAAGATGGAGAGGAGGAGGTTAAAGCCACCAGCGGACCAAGATGAAGCGGTCGCAGAAGTCGCCACCATAAATTCAAACAAGCAGCAGGCAGAGGTGCCTGAGGCTCAGAGACAATTTCACAGCTTAATTTATTCCATAAAAAATTATAAATTCTAAATTATAAATTCTATAAGGTTAGAAAAAAGGTTTTAATAAAATTAAACATAAGTAAAACAATCAAAAATGTAGGTGATACCATTGTTAGCAATATGTTGCATAATATAGTGTGGAAACTATTTATTACAAAGTCTATAATATACTATCTATTATATAAAATTGAAAAAAATTAAATTACAAAAACAAAAATTTACATTATTAAATTTAAGTTTTAATTTTGGTATAGGTAAATATTATATATGTGAAAAATATGTAAGGTATTACATACAATAAAAAACAAAAATATAAAGAAACATCGCTAAATATTGGCCAAGCAAATTATGTATACGCCCCCTTTGACCTTTCGACCCTACTTAAAAATCATACAAATTTTGCAATATTTTAAATATTCATGTGGCAAAATAGCTGGTTATAATAATCAGCATTTTCGTTGTAGCAAACCATAATTTATTGATCATTTACACTCCTCCACCCACAATGCTTAATGGCATTTGGCAATAAAATGGCTAAAATGGCAACCCTAATTTGGGCGGTGGTTTAAAAATATTTAAAGCAAAACTACCAAACGGAAAATAACATAAAAACTTAAGTTTAACATAAAACCGTACGAAATCGCACACGCAAAACGGGTTTGGCTCATTTACAATACTCTATTTTTCCATCGACGCAACGGGTTTCGGTGGGTGAACTACTTTTGGGACACCTTTGGTGGGGTCTTCAATCAAGCTTATTAACGGGGGGCTTTCGGGGGTGTGGCGACAAAACTAAAAAAGACTAAGGGGTCCCGCTAATTAACATTCAATTTAACACATTATAGGCCACGCAACCTTTTCTCGTTTTAGCCACATTTCGGTGGTTAACCACAGAAATGGGCCGAACGCCCAGAAAGAGATACATTTCCAGATCTGGCCTCGTCCGAGACACTCGTCTGGATTGATGGCCCCCAGAATGTCGTGCTTTCGGAAACAGATCCACACTCGCACTTTCTAAAAAGCCATAAACCCATGCGTAAGTATGTATGTAGGTAAGCCCATCTGAGAAGCCGGCAGAAGACGGCCTTGAGAACAGAGCCGACGTAGAGTTACGAGTTCCCGAGCCGGCTTTACATAATAAGCAACAACTTTTACTCGCTGCCACATCTTGCGTCCGTAAGTTGCCCCTGAACTTGAAATGCAGCGATCATTAAGGCACGTGCACCGACAAAAATCAATTTCAACAAAATAATCCCCAGGAATTAAGCAATAAATTTCGGAATCTGATATCAACACCTTAAAGCGGTAAATTTATACTCACTAAATAAATCATTCCTAAGCCAATCCATTAACAACTTTGTAGCTACATAGCATAAATAGCTTACTGATCATAACTCCAAGTTTACCATCGGAAATTTATTCGTTTCTAGGGTGTTAAAAATCCATTTTTATATACATAGATTTACCATGCTGAATTACCTTTATATGCTGAATTAATCTTTCAGTGTAGACGTAAATCAAAACTGAACTGGCAGGCAACGCCAAGCATGACGACAAGTTGGGCCAAGCTTAAGAGTTAATGGACTGCAGTTGGGGAAACTGAAATGATGACCATTCCGAGAACTACAATCGGGCAGCTGTGAGCGGTAAATGATGATCCCAAAACAGGTATTTCGAAACAGTTATAAGGAGACTTAATATCATCAATGTGGTTGAGGATACTTTGACAAGTGAATAAGGGTTTCATTTCCTTAATTGAATGCTCTATAATTCCGGTAATTAGTAAATTTGAGTCTTAAGGTGTAACCCCAAGAATAAAATATATAAAATTAGGTATCTTGTTTAAAAAAAAATATATGTATTTAAAGATAATTATAATAGACTCTGGGGCTCTTAGTACTTAAAATTAGTAAACATAACCTCCGTTGGAGGCGTACTGGGTCTCCTGGCCGGCCTTCGAGTAGGTGGCCTGCAGATGGGCAGGAGTGATGGTGTCGGCACCAGTGGCCTCGGGCTCGTGGGTCTCGGGATTGAACTCCTCGATGCCATTCGAGGCGGGCTCCTCGTACTGATGGGCAGGTGTGATGGCGGCGGGTGCCTGTCCCTTGACATAGGCGGCGATCAGATGAGCCGGCTGGTAGCTACCGACATCCGATCCAGGAACGACAGACGAGACCTGGTTCTGAACGTAACCGCTCTGGACCGAAGCTCCAGAAACAGCGGAAGCAAGAACGGACTGCTTCAGGTCAGCAGGCGTATATTCAGCGGGCTGGTAAGAGCTAGAATCTTCTCCGGGAACAACAGTCTCCGGCTCCTGCTCCTGCTGCTCCTGGACATACTTGTAGTGGGCTTCCTGATCAGCCTGGGGGATAAACTTCTCCGGGGTGTAGGTATCAGCGCCAATAGCAGCGGGTACTGGTACATAAGTATCAGCTCCAATTGCTGCTGGAACGGAAGCCTTGAGATGAACGGGAGTGTATTCAGCGGGTAGGTAGGAGGTAGCAACGCCTCCAGGAGCAGCCTCAGCAACAACAGCGGCTGAAGAGGATTGGTAGAAGCTTGAATCGCTACCAGGAGCAACCTCTGCAGCAGCGGCGGCAGAAGAGGTCTGCTTAAGATAGGCAGGAGTGTATTCAACGGGCTGGTAAGAGCTAGAATCTCCCCCGGGAACAACAGCCTCCTGCTCCTGCTCCTGCTGCTGCTCTTGGACATACTTGTAGTGGACATCTTGGTCAGCCTGGGGAATAAACTTCTCCGGGGTGTAGGTATCAGCTCCAATAGCAGCGGGCTCTGGCGCATAAGTATCAGCTTCAATCGCTGCTGGAACGGATGCCTTAAGATGAACGGGTGTGTATTCAGCGGGCTGGTAGGAGCTGGCATCGCCACCAGAAACAACCTCAGCGGCAACAGAAGCGGGGGAAGACTGCTTGAGAAAGGCAGGAGTGTATTCAGCGGGTTGGTAGGAGCTCGAATCGCCACCAGGAACAACCTCAGCAGCCTTGAGACGGGCGGAAGTATATTCAGCGGGTTGGTAGGCGTTCGATTCGCTGCCAGAAACAACCTCAGCGGCTTTTAAGTGCTCAGGAGTGTATTCAGCGGGTTGGTAGGAGCTAGCATCGTCACCAGGAACAACCTCAGCAGACTTCAAATGCTCGGAAGTGTATTCAGCGGGTTGGTAGGAGATCGATTCGCCACTAGGAACCACTTCAGCAGACTTCAAGTGCTCGGAAGTGTATTCAGCGGGTTGGTAGGAGCTAGCATCGCCACCAGAAGCAACCTCAGCAGACTTCAAGTGCTCGGAAGTGTATTCAGCGGGTTGGTAGGAGATTGATTCGCCACCAGGAACCACTTCAGCAGACTTCAAGTGCTCGGGAGTGTATTCAGCGGGTTGGTAGGAGCTCGATTCGCTACCAGGGACCACTTCAGCTGCAGGGGTGTATTCAGCAGAGTGGTAGGAGCTAGCATCGCCACCATGGACCACTTCAGCAGACTTCAAGTGCTCTGGAGTGTATTCAGCGGGTTGGTAAGAGCTCGAATCGCCACCAGGAACAACCTCAGCAGCCTTGAGATGGGCGGAAGTATATTCAGCGGGCTGGTAGGAACCAGCATCACCTCCAGGGATGACCTCATCCGACTTCAAATGCTCATGAGTGTATTCAGCGGGTTGGTAGGAGCTGTAATCACCACCTGGCACTACCTCCGAGGAAGAGGAAGACGAGAAGGATGAAGAGGTGGAGAGTCCATAGCCTCCATCGGCGGATAGGCCCAACTTAAGGTGACTGACGTCAGCGGCGGCGATGCCGACAAAGGCCAAGGCGATGACGTAAAACTTCTGCAAGCAGGTCATAAAAAGTAGATAGGGATAAGTGGGAAAGAGGCGTGGAGGTTGAGGTGATTCCCCCTAGAACCGAAACTTACCATGTTTGGACTGAATCTGTTGATCTGAAGAGGGACGTTTCAGGTTTTTATACCCACAAAAGATTATGGGCCTATGCTAATTGGAGTTTTGTTTTGATACCCGCTTGATTTGGTTCCTACTGAACTTCTGTCTGCCCATTTGCTTGTTTTTTCCCATTTTTACTTTGGGTTGCGAATTTGCATAGGTAACATAACAAAAGTGGCGATCCTATCAACTTCATTAGAACCTCTGCGGGTCGGACCGCCTTGGCCTTTCCGTCAATTAAACTGTCGTCTGGCTTAAACACAGAGAGAAAAATGTTTATTGTATTTCAATGTAATGTTTGATAATAATTAAATTATTCCAAAAATAAGTTAAGATGTGTTGCAATGGTGATGGTTCTAAATCAAAAAACTATTAATTAAATTTATTTACATTTTTTAATTATGATTTAGATGTAGTTAACTTTTTTTGTAAATTTCTTCACTATTTTTTTTTAACGTGTACGAGTCCATCCTTTCGATGGTTCGCTAAATGGAGTTACTGATTAGCGCCTGGCAAGTTCAGCCGGGTGTCATAATCGGCTTGCTTCGCCAACCAGTTTCAAGTCTTTGGCCAAGAGTCTTAGATCTGCCAATGAGTCTGCTAATTGGGCTTGGGGAAATCAATCGATTGATGCTTAAACTTGCATAGATGTTGCCTATAAAGCCGTGTTCGATCGAAATATAACTACTTTTGGCTTTTTACGGCACAAGAACGGACTCCTTGTATACCCCGCAAGAGCCAAATAATAAAGTCATAAAGGTATCAATTAATTTCAACTTTAAGTGATTCAGTGTGCCAACTAAATATATCCAGTTTCGAATTAGTTACGCCAACTTCGGCAACCATGCTGAATGCATTATAAAAATAACCTTTATATAAAGTTGCTGCTTACATTTTATGGATTAATTTATTCGCTTAAAAGATAGTTGAGCTGATTTTATGGTTATCGTTTGGCGAAATTAGCTTAACTTAATAAATTAACTAATTTTCATAATATTGAAGAAACAAAATGATCAAAAGTGGAGTAAATTAATAATAACCGAAGCAAAAGGAAAGGGTGTTCAATAGTTCCTGGTTTATAAGTTCACTACCAAGAGTCTAGAATAATCACGGAACATTGAACTGGGAGGAACCATTCAAAACTCGTTTATGGCAATTCGGTTTTTTTATTGATGTGTTTTGTCAAAAAGATGAAAATAGATGGTCCGTCAATAGAGCTTATAACTTAATTGTATGAAAAATGACAAAATAAATATCTATTGAATAATTAATGGTCATCTTAGAGGTGGCACTGTTCAAATTATCATAATTGGTTATATTTAATTATTTAACCCATTAAAGAAGTTATTATAAGTACTATCAATAATTTAAAAATAATTACGGAAAAATGTGGATACTTCATATTTCAGTGGCTATAAATTATAAAATAATTATTTAATAGTACTAATTTGGCATTCCTACGTTAATATTTGAACGGCTTTTTTATTAGTTTGATTTTTGTTTGATATATGCTAAATATTTTAATGGCAAAGCTATTATAATTCTTTAAAAGTTTATATTTTCTTGATGTGTGTATTGGCTGTAAAAATAAACTTTCCAAGCTTTGACTTAATTTATACAAATAATTTTGTTATTGTGTTAAAAATATGATTACCCATAAAGTTCCTTAATTAATGTTTCTTATTTTAATTAATGTAAAAAAGCATAACTTTTTTAGCCGGCTTCTTCCATTTCTTTTGTTATTTTCACAAATTTATTCCGCTAATTATGCACATTTTTGTTATGGTGGGTATTATTTTTTCAAATTTGCATCCCTGTGACGTCCGTCTTTTGACTGTAAAATATCTGGAAATATATTTTTAGAGCATGCAAATTTGTAGAACTGGCCAATATTTTCGGGCCAACTTGACTGTCTGCTCAGGTCGTAAAAAGTGTGTGACTCACTCGAAGTGGCGAGATTCTTCGGCGACTCGGTTCAGGGCATCGAAACTCGTTTCGAACATCATCATCAGTAGGCCCGAAAAAAGACAGACTTGACTTCAGTTTTTATATTTTTTTTGCTTTGTGTTGTATTAATTATGAAAATTTATGCTTTGAGTGGTGTAATTAAAATACAAGAACACAATGAAATATAAGCTTTAACTATATTTATGGCCTTTATGTAAAACAAATGTCAGAGCCTGTCCAAAAATCAGGTTGAGCGACAAAAGATATATAATAACGGTTCGATTTTAAGTATGTGTTTAAATAAATACCTATATTTGTTTTCATTCTTTCTCTTTTGTTGCCAAACAATAGATCAAGCTTGAACAAGTGTGCATTTATTGATATTGATTGTGCATTTGTGTGTCAAACTTGTTGGTGACTTAACAGAGGTGTGGATCTTAGATGGGAGCTTAGCCCTAAATTATTTTTGCTTCGGACTTGCAGAGAGAGAAAAAATCAAACACCACCACATATATATGTTTTAAGTCTTTCTAGCATATTTATTCAATGAAGAACATTTTAAAAGATTATTAACAAATTGTCGCTCAGAAAAAAAATGTATTTCATTGAAAATATATGCATGTACGTATTATTTTCTTGGACTCTTGCATTTCTATACTTCATAACTTGAGTTATTGGACTCAGACTTTAAAGTAGGATACCTCTATGAGTTTGTGTTCAAATTCTCTAATAATCTACATTTAAATATTTCTTTTCAAAGAGGGTCCAAATTTTGACCCATTCTCATGTTCGATTTTTCCCTATTTCCAATGGTTTTCAGAATGGTGACCCAAAATGGCACTTCAAGATTCCATAACTTCAGTTCTTGGACTCCGATTTTGAAGTGGGATACCTCAATGAGTTTGTGTTTAAATTCTCTAATAATCTACATTTAAATATATCTTTTCAAAGGGGGTCAAAATTTTGACCCATTTTCATGTTCGATTTTTCCCTATTTCCAATGGTTTTCAGAATGGTGACCCAAAATGGCACTTCAAGATTCCATAACTTCAGTTCTTGGACTCCGATTTTGAAGTGGGATACCTCAATGAGTTTGTGTTTAAATTCTCTAATAATCTACATTTAAATATTTAATTTCAAAGAGGGTCCCAATTTTGACCCCTTTTCATGTTCGATTTTTCCCTATTTCCAATGGTTTTCACAATAGTGACCCAAAATGGCACTTCAAGATTCCATAACTTGAGTTCTTAGACTCCGATTTTGAAGTGGGATACCTCTATGAGTTTGTGTTTAAATTCTCTAATAATCTGCATTTAAATATTTCTCTTCAAAGAGGGTCCAAATTTGGACCCCTTTTCATGTTCGATTTTTCCCTATTTCCAATGGTGACCCAAAATGACACTTCAAGAATCCATAACTTGAGTTCTTGGACTCCGATTTTGAAGTGGGATACCTCTATGAGTTTGTGTTTAAATTCTCTAATAATCTACATTTAAATATTTATCTTCAAAGAGGGTCCCAATTTTGACCCATTTGCATGTTCGGTTTTTCCCTATTTCCAATGGTTTTCATAATGGTGACCCAAAATGACACTTCAAGAATCCATAACTTGAGTTCTTGGACTCCGATTTTGAAGTGGGATACCTCTATGAGTTTGTATTTAAATTCTCTAATAATCTGCATTTAAATATTTCTCTTTAAAGAGGGTCCAAATTTGGACCCCTTTTCATGTTCGATTTTTCCCTATTTCCAATGGTTTTTACAATGGTGACCCAAAATGACACTTCAAGAATCCATAACTTGAGTTATTGGACTCCGATTTTGAAGTGGGATACCTCTATGAGTTTGTATTTAAATTCTCTAATAATCTACATTTAAATATTTCTCTTCAAAGAGGGTCCAAATTTGGACCCCTTTTCATGTTCGGTTTTTCCCTAATTCAAATGGTTTTCAGAATGGTGACCCAAAATGACACTTCAAGAATCCATAACTTGAGTTCTTGGACTCCGATTTTGAAGTGGGATACCTCTATGAGTTTGTGTTTAAATTCTCTAATAATCTACATTTAAATATTTATCTTCAAAGAGGGTCCCAATTTTGACCCCTTTTCATGTTCGGTTTTTCCTTATTTCCAATGGTTTTCATAATGGTGACCCAAAATGACACTTCAAAATTCCATAACTTGAGTTCTTGGACTCCGATTTTGAAGTGAGATACCTCTATGAGTTTGTATTTAAATTCTCTAATAATCTGCATTTAAATATTTCTCTTCAAAGGGGGTCCAAATTTGGACCCCTTTTCATGTTCGATTTTTCCCTATTTCCAATGGTTTTCACAATGGTGACCCAAAATGACACTTCAAGAATCCATAACTTGAGTTCTTGGACTCCGATTTTGAAGTGGGATACCTCTATGAGTTTGTATTTAAATTCTTTAATAGTCTACATTTAAATATTTCATTTCAAAGAGGGTCCAAGTTTTGATCCATTTTCATGTTAGATTTTTCCCTATTTCCAATGGTTTTCACAATGGTGACCCAAAAAAGCAATTCAAGATTCCATAACTTGAGTTCTTGGACTCCGATTTTGAAGTGGGATACCTCTATGAATTTGTGTTTAAATTCTCAAATAATCTACATTTAAATATTTCTTTTCAAAGAGGGTCCAAATTTTGACCCCTTTTCATGTTCGAGTTTTTCCTATTTCCAATGGCCTTCAGAATGGTGACCCAAAAAGGCGCTTCAAGATTCCATAACTTGAGTTCTTGGACTCCGATTTTGAAGTGGGATACCTCTATGAGTTTGTGTTTAAATTCTCTAATAATCTACATTTAAATATTTAACTTCAAAGAGGGTCCGAATTTTGACCCATTTTCATGTTCGATTTTTTGGGTTATTGGACTCCGATTATAAAGTGGGATGCCTCTATTAGTTTGTGTGACACATTTTGTTAACTTTTGTCCCAGTGCATGGCATATGTTCCTCACACTTTCGGTTTCAACTCTGATATAGTTGATTCTTCTCTGGTAGCCG